GTGACTTGGTGTTGCTTCAAGTGCATCATTCTGCACACGGGATGCGCATGATTGCTTATAATACTTTGGGGAGACAAGGGGGCGTGGCCTAAGGGAATATCACTCGTGATGTTAAGTGATGTTACCCCGCCATCGCTGATACAACCTTTAGCAGTCATGTTTTTGCTTCTTGAGAGAGAGAGAAAGTGTGTGTGTGTGTGTGTGTGTGTGTGAGCAGTGGCGGTTCTAGGCGGGGGCCTGGGGGGGCCAGTGCCCCTGCGACAACAAGCTTGGACCCCCTTGTGGCCCCCCTAAATGTGGAGTCAGTGTGAAATATTTTTTTTATAGTGTGTCACGCATTGAGCATGACAGTCACTCGTTTCAGTCTTTTGTCTCACACTCCCGTCACACATTGTATTTCTCATGCGGAAAAACTATTAATAATATATTTAATATACGCAATTTCTCTGGCCGCGCCGCTCTCACGTGAGAATCAAGCGCGTCTCGCCTGGAGTTCAGCAGTCGACCCTGCTACGCATCAGCCAATCAAAAAAAGAGAAGTGCTACTTAATAGCCAATCAGAAAAGGGCACTATTGTATCTGGGTAAAATTTAACGCAACAACCAATGAAAAAAAGCATATCCTGGAATTGTTCATATGATTCTGTTACAACATCTTCCGAAAGTTTCTTCACCCGTCCCACAGATGAAACTAATCACTGGAGCTCCGAACATCACTTGGAGCACGGAGTAAGTCATGATCTCCTGTTTTAATGTTACAACAAATTCACAACTTGTTTGACAAAAACTATGACAACTTGACTGATGTAAGATGAATCTTTCCCGTAGCGTAAGCTAGCTTACGCAATGCTCGTTCCCTCATCTAGAGAGAACCGAGGTTACGTTAGGTAATCGATTCGTTTCCCATTTAATTAGTATCAGTCTGTAACTTAGACAACAGTTTTACAGCCTGTTCACTGACAACACCTGCTCAGAACAAGTAGTCTAGGCCTAGTCATCTTATTACACGAATCACGATGACTGACATATTGTCACATTATAAACATCTCTCTCTCCAAATAGGCTTAATAATTTTATTAGCACTAGATAAATTAAAGTGTAATGCATAGTCGATTTTAAAACATCTCTCTCTCCAAATAGGCTTAATAATTTTATTAGCACTAGATAAATTAAAGTGTATTGCATAGTCGATTTTATAGGTCACTTTTAAAATCATGTCATATTTTATAATTATATCCTGGCCAAGGATGCATTAATTATTGCTTCTGTCTTTCAAAGATGTCAGGAAAAAAACAATTATAAAAAAGCTCATTCACCCTGAGAGGAAAGCCCCCTAAAAAGGCCAGTTTAGAGGATAATTTGCTGATCTTTTTGCAAAAAAAAAAAAAAAAAAAAAAAACCCACAAAAATCGTAGATTAATTTGTAAAAATTATATATATATATATATATATATATATATATATATATATATATATATACATACTGTATATTCAATGTAAAAAAATAAAATGGAAATTCAAATACAGACTGATATATGTAATGCAAATGTAAAAATATAATGGAAATGCAAATTGTTGGATAATTATAAACATGGTATTTTGCTTATTTATGCCTTCAGTGCAGTGCAGAAAATGATAAGGTCTAAATGTAACTGGCCCCTCTAACAGTACAACTGGCCCCAGCTTGGCCCCCCAGTTGAAATGGTCTAGAACCGCCACTGTGTGTGAGAGAGAGAGAGAGAGAGAGAGAGAGAGAGAGAGAGAGAGAGAGAGAGAGAGAGAGAGAGAGAGAGAGAGAGAGAAATGTAACAAAGTTTAATATTGTTTGTAAACTGTGTTTGAGAGAGAGGAAGGTGTTCAGAGAGTCTGTAGGATGTTAAGCTGTTATTTGTTTTATGGACTCAATGTTGAAAATTTAAAACATTTCAAACACACTGTTGGCAGAAGTGAAAAATAAATAATTTTATGAAGTTACAATTTTGTTTGATTCCATGGTGTATTTTACTGAACATGAGTATTTACAATGCAAATTATTGTAATTTACTGGCAAATACTTATCTTGTCTTTTCATTTTATTAAGATCAGATTCTGCATGTAAAATTAAAATAATAAGGTGACTTGACTTGCACTTGACTTAACCTACTACAAGACTTGACTTGACTTGACATAGCCTGTGACTTGACTTGACTTCGCCCCCCCCCCCCCCCCCCCCCAAAAAAAAATACTTGGGACTTACTTGAGACTTGACGGTTAAGACTTGAGACTTACTTGAGACTTGCGTGACCTGCGCCCATCTCTGCTCTAAGTTTTAAGACAGTTCAAATGGAAGTTGGGAATTATGTGTTGTTTGAATAAATCTCCTAGGAGAAATACATCAAATTACAACGCATGTGTTTACCAATCACCACCATACTCGGTGTGCATGAAGTCAAGACATTGAGGATGCTCAATTCCGGACGGATTTTTGATATCTCGAACGGTTTGGCCGTGGCGAGGAAAATAATTTTATGACTAAAAAAGGACACATAAAATGTGTTAACTTTGCTCGTTTTACCTACAGTTACAAAACATGCCACGTATATTGTTCTTGTCAAGCCGATCAACTTTCTAATTAACAGTAAGAAGCTCAGACCAAAAGAAAGTCAGATATTGCAGTTTGGATGTGTATCTTGTCTCTATCAGTGTCTGTGTGGGGAAGAGGGAGGGGGGGGGGGCTGGTGTCTGCGTTTATGTGTGTGTGTGTTTGTGTGTTGCTGACTGTAGATTTTTTCTGCAAGTCCTTATCTTTTTGCATAACAATTTTGTATTTTTTTAAATGACAAAATATGCATATAACCCTAATCTTTTAAATGTATAGTTTGCTTTAAATAAAAGTAAGATAAATTGGTAAACTACAAATTGGTAATTGAAGCTGAATGAATTTAAAATTAATGTGCTATATTTCAATACATTTGCTTTCCTTAATATTGTAAAACACTAACCTCATTTATATATGTGTGTGTGTGTGTTTGTATGTATATATATTTTGCAAAGCCCTCACTGATGCAAGCTCTTCTGCACACTTCTCTTCGACAGTCAATGCGGAGGTTAAGTTTTTGCACGTCGTGCAGAATAACCCTCTTTATATATATATATATATATATATATACTTAAAAAAGCGGGGGTTAAGTTTTTGCACGTCGTGCAGAATAACACTAAAGGCACCATATATATACTTAAAAGTGGGGTTGTTAGTTTTATCTACAGTTACAAAAATCGGTATATACATTGTGCTCCTCAAGCCGTACAACTTTCTAATACATAGTCATTAGCTCGGACCAAGAGGAAGTCAGATATTTTGGTCTGAATATGGTGAGCCTCTCTCTGAGCCTACGTCCCTGTATGGCAAGCCCTTTTAACATTTAAAAGCTAAGTTTGCCTATCCGGAATTAACATTGTAGATATCAACAACGTCTTTCTGTCTAGTCGTTACACTTTGGATAGTTTGTATTATCATTTAAGATATCTGTAACATAATTGTGACTACTCGAAATGACAGAGTATGGCAAGCCGTTTTAACATTTAATCATGAAAGGGCCAAAGCCTTCGGCACCGCCACCCGGGTGCCTTTAGGTAACTAAAGGAACCGGGGTTGCGGTGCCTCCGGCTTGGGCCCGCCATCGCTGCTCGCAGCTATATTTATTATTATTATTATTATTTTACATGATCCAAAAGACTGATATTAGCGTAGACGCCATTCTTCTAATGATGTCGCGAGTACATCGGGTGTTTTAGGAAGTTCCCCGGTTCCGGCTGATCTAATCTATGCAGCCTAATTTTGAATTAACGAAGTCTATAGTGTGTTGTGTGTATGCTAGGCCAAAGAGATGTGTGTTTAGTCTAGATTTGGACTGCCAGAGGGTGTCTGCTTCCCGGACAACGTTAGGAAGATTGTTCCAGAGTTTTGGTGCTAAATAGGAAAAGGATCTCCCTCCTGCAGTCGATTTCAATATTCTCGGTATTATCCACCGGCCGGAGTTTAGAGATCGCAATAGACGTGAAGGACTATAATGCGTTAATTCAGTCAAGTACTGGAGATGTGTAAATGCAGTCAAGTACTGGAGATAAACCATTTAGAGCTTTGTAAGTAATCCAGAGACTTCATATCTACATGTATATTCAAATTATCAACAATTAGGAACAATTAAAAAAAAATCAGCAAATTCTTTGATAAAGTCTGTATGGTGCCCTGGTTGCCTGTACAAATCATAGACTGTAAAAAAAGATGGACGTCGCCCCTTCGCTCTTTCCATCAGAGAGAACTGAAGCCGCCAGTGTCTCAATATGGCGCTGACATCTTGGACTTGAGTCTGTGCACTTGCGTGTTTCAGGACCAGTCATGCGCAGTCGTGAGCAGGAAGTAAAGCCACGAAATCAAGGCCGCGCCCTCACTCTCGCTGAATCAAACGCAAGCACACGCCCCGCACTTTCATTAATGTCCTCTGTCTGCTTCGTTCTTCTCCAATGATGTCTGCTGATTGCAGAACCTCATTAAAATAAGGTAAATACAACTACTGACCACATAATAAACATCATTAAAAAAGTCCGCTGGTGCTTCAGTGACTACCTCGCACAGAGAACCTGTCAATCACAGCTGTCAATCATGATGTCACAGCACCGTTTTTATCATCACATAGCTAACTAAAAACAAACTTATTTTAAAAACGAACACTTGAAATTACATCAACGTGATAGAAACTACAATAAATGACAGAAACTATCTTTGGAAAAAGGATATGTGGAGTGTAATTTAATTGTTTAGTTGGTCTCGCGTCGCATTGAATAACATGGGGAGGCGGGGGTTACGAGCTATACTAGGACCGGCCACAGGGGGGCGATCAAGACGTTTTGGCTTTACTTTTAAGGGCTTGTGCGGCACGCTTGGTACAAATGTCAAGCGGGATTTATCATTTAAATGGTGAAAATGGTAAATGGACTGCATTTATGTAGCGCTTTCCTCAGGACTCAGACTCAGTGCTATAGACAGTCTCATTATAAACGCCCGTGTGTCGTCCTCAGGACTCAGACTCAGTGCTATAGACAGTCTCATTATAAACGCTCGTGTGTCGTCCTCAGGACTCAGAGTCAGTGCTATAGACAGGCCGCAGTGCTGGTGGTGAGCGAGATGACGTCTGGAGACTGTGAGCGGCCGGTGAGGGGACTTCAGTGGATCAGTGCCGGTGTGAACGATGTCCTCGCCTGTCCTCTGAAGAGATACGCCAGGAGTGTGGATCATCCCTCCATCCAGTGGTACAAGGTACAAACCCTTCATTCAAGTCAAGTCACATTCATTTATATAGCGCTTTTCACAATACAGGTTGTATCAAAGCAGCTTCACAGTGATAACATGAAAGTAGTACAACACAGATCAATAATATTGTTAAATATTAAATAACCCCGGCTAAGCGAGCCAAAAGCAAGGCGACAGTGGCAAGGTCAGATTGGATGGAGAAAAAACCTTGGGAGAACCCAGGCTCAGTCGGGGGCCAGTTCTCCTCTGGCTTACATTCATATTGTTTATATATAAATAAAAATATTGTTTATGTATAAAACGGCTCCATAACATATCGCAGGCGTTGAGTCGTCTCATCACAGGCGTTGAGTCGGCTCTTCACAGGCGTTGAGTCGGCTCTTCACAGGCGTTGGGGCATCCGAAATCCCCGTGAGAGGCTGGACACAAAACTGGACCTGACGAACGCCATTTTTCTCGGGACAAGCGTCCCGAGATAACAGCAGAAAGGCAGATGGGAAATAATTAGCATAGCTGATGTTCATAATGATTTCCATTATCCGGGAGTCGGTGTTAGAAAACCACTAACTCACAAACTCTCCGCAACCCAACCATACGCGCCGACCCGTTTGTCTAAGAGGCTGTCGAGCCCCACTGGTGCGTTAAGCAGTTTCAGTGGCAAACGGTTCCGTATGGCATAACAGAGGACTAGAAGGTAAGCATTATGTGAATGCTTGACTAAAGAGATGCGTCTTTAATCTAGTTTTAAACTGTGTCAGCGAGTCAGAGCCTCGGACCGTATCGGGAAGGCCATTCCAGAGTTTTGGAGCTAAATGCGAGAACGCCCTCCCTCCTTTACTGGACTTCGATATCCTAGGAATGACCAGAAGCCTTGAATTTAGTGATCTTAAGGAACGCGGTGGATTGTAGGGCGAAAGAAGGTCCGTTAAGTACATAGGAGCTAAACCATTTAGGGCTTTATAGGTCAGTAGTAGTATTTTGTAGTTGATGCGGAACTTAATAGGTAACCAGTGTAGAGATGATAAAATCGGTGTTATATGATCATATTTTCTTGACCTAGTAAGAACTCTAGCAGCTGCATTTTGTACTAACTGTAGCTTGTTTATTGAGGATGCAGGACAACCGGCTAATAAAGCATTACAATAATCTAGTCTCGAGGTGACCCCCGTACGGGTCAGCGTCGCCGTCGAGGCCTTGAAGGAATAGCAGTTCTGCCATTAGTTACTCGCCTCTAATGTTGCTTACACAAGACACAAGATATTCATATTTTCCTAAAAATAAAAGATTATAATTTAAATAAAACCGCACCGGCGGGAGAAAGTGGAGGAGCAGATTGAGACGAGAGAGAGAGAGAGAGAGAGAGAGAGAGAGAGAGAGAGAGAGAGAGAGAGAGAGAGAGAAAACTAAACTGGCTCTAATAAGAAATAAATAGGGGAACTAATGCAGAAGGTTAACTGATGCCCGTTGCTTTTAAATGTTGTTGTTCTTTAATATGTACTTGTGTCTCTGTGTTAAGGCGCTAGCAACGCCAAGATTATGGGTTCAATTCCCAGCAGAATTATAAACATTTACACCATCAGTGCAGCATACATGCCAAAAAGTCAAGTCAAGTCAAGTCACATTTATTTATATAGCGCTTTTCACAATACAGATTGTATCAAAGCAGCTTCACAGTGATAACATGAAAGTAGCACAACACAGATCAACAACATTGCTAAACACTAAATAAATAACCCCAACTGAGCAAGCTCAAAGCAAGCCAAAAGCAAGGCGACAGTGGCAAGGAACCAAACTCCATCAGATTGGATGGAGAAAAAACCTTGGGAGAACCCAGGCTCAGTTGGGGGCCAGTTCTCCTCTGGCTTACATTCATATTGTTTAAATATAAATATTAAATATAAATATTGTTTATGAATCAAACGGCGCCATAACATATCGCAGGCGTTGAGTCGTCTCATCACAGGCGTTGAGTCGTCTCATCACAGGCGTTGGGGCATCCGAAATCCCCGTGAGAGGCTGGACACAAAACTGGACCTGACGAACGCCATTTTTCTCGGGACAAGTGTCAATTCATTAATGAAAACTATGATGAAAAATGTTACTACCATTTTTTTTCCGACGAGATGATGACGAGACGACCCTCATTAATGATAACTGTGACTATATCAACATGCAATTTTGTTGATGAAAAGACAAGAGGAAAAAAAAAACTTTACCAAAATCTATTTTTTTGTGGCGGAAAATAGACTAAATATTACTGACTGTTTTTAACAGGCCACTATGAGCCTTTGTTTGCCAGATATCAGGAGCTTAAATCCCCAATCAGAGCTTTTCTGTTAAAAGGAAACATTTTCTGCTGTCTTCTCTGATCCTCAGAGCTGTGAACCTCTTCAAGTAGATGAGAAGTTTACTCCAAACGAAGAACTTCTTCGCATACACAAAGTGCATCTCGATGATGCTGGATTGTACACCTGCAAAATGACCTTTAGTTTAGGTGGAGTCGTCGGTGAAATGGCTGAATCTGTGGAGTGTGAAGTTCACGGTGAGCATTATTAAAGCTTATATGTGTACATCTAGGCCCTGTTCACACCTGCTATTATCATCTATTAACATGCCTTTCATATCCAGACTGCATTTACACCTTCATTCCTAGTGTGATCGGATAGAGATCGCACTAACCTCTCCAAAATGCAAATCCACTCTTACATATTACACAAGAGATGCATTAACTCAAACATTTCTATAATTTGCCCAATTTTAAAAATATTGCTAAATAATGCAAAATACTTTCCTTTACTTTTCGTTTCCTTACGAAACCTTCAGTGACGGATGTTAATAGAAATAAGAAGTAAAATAAGGATGAGAAGTTTTAAAGTGAAGAAGTGCAATTCAGTTTTAATTTCTTGTATAAATTGTTGAGCGAATCCCGATAACACGTGTCCTGGAGTTTCAGAAACAATCAGAACATTTGAGGAAAAAAGACAGACAAAAGCAATGCAATTGCAAATACTTCAGCATCTCTTTTATATTTAACAATGTTATCTGATATTTCACCTATTTACAAACATATTCTTTCTAGCACTGTCCACGTATTCTCTCTAACCACAATGAAATTATACTGTTAAATATAAAACTGAACCGCCAGTAGAGGGATCAGAGACACACCGGTGACATCAGACCATATTTACACACTTATTTAGCTCTGATTAACGGATGTGAATAATCATGCATAACAGATAAATGCTCTAGAAATACTTTAATTTTATCTCAATTTAATTTATAAGAAACTAAAACTAAAGCATTTTTCTTTCAATATTTTGTCAATTTGCTTTTTAATGTGTTCTTTGTTTATGATTATCGCAGATGAATATTTAGAGAAACCAAGGTTGATTGAGCCAGTTAATGAGATCATCAAAGTTGAGAGAGGTAAGCTGGACATTTCTTTTAATTATCAGAATATATTTATTTATTCATGTATCTTTTATTTCTCTCAGTTTTTTAGCTACTCATATGTTCTGTACACTCAAAGTTCAGTTACTTGAGCAATAAACCACATCCTGCAACTAAATTCACTGCAACCCTTTTACAATAAGGTTTAATTTCCTGACATTTAGCATGAACAATACTTCTAAAACATTTCTTGGTCACACTTTACAATAAGGTTCATAAGTTACATTATTTAATGTTTTAACTAACATGAACTAACAACAAGCAATACATTTGTTACATTAATTATTAATGTTAGTGAATAAAAATCCAGCTGTTCATTGATTGGTCAGGTTAGTTCACAATGCATTAACTAAATTGACCAAATACAGCATTTGATTTTAATAATGCATTTGTAAATGTTGAAATTAATATTAATTAGAATTAATGAATGCTGTAGAAGGATTTTTGCGGTCTGAAATCAATTGCTCTGGTCGCCTCGCTGTCTTGCTGCCGTGTGCTTTGCGTCTAAACTCCGTATAGCTTTCTGTTTTGAATCTCTTTTTACTATCATTCTTTGTTGTTAATATCGCTAAACATATCTGGTAACACTTTAGAATACTGTATCTTACTTACTGCATAACTAATAAGGAATTAATGAAGAACTAATAGGTAATTCTTTATTAACACTTAAGTCACTACTGTTAACGACTAAGGAAGATGTGTTAACTGATCAGTATGTAATATAATTTTATGATTGTGTTAAGTATCAGTTAGTTAATCAATAGCTAATGAATTCTGTCATACCTCCTGAAGAACTACTATTAATTATCTATTAATTAAGGTTCAAGAAAAATAACTATGAAGTAACTACTAATTAACAGTCATACACAGTAGTCAGTTTGTCATTCTTCAGCACTAATAAGAAAGATAAGTGCAGACATTTACCTATAGGCTATGATCTGCAAATAAGCAAAAACATCTCATGTATATTACACCTTATTATTATACTTAGTTCTTATACATTTTAAACTTATTTTGCACCATTCAAGTCTCGGCAATATGGCGGTGGCCACATACACTGAGTCTGGGTTCTCCCGAGGGGTTTTCTCCATTCTGTCCCTGATGGAGTTTTGCTTCCTTGCCTCTGTTGCCTTTTTCGCCTCTCTTTACCTTTGTCGCCATTGGCTTTTGGCTTGCTTAGTTGGGGACATTTAACATTTAATTTTGAATTTAACAATACTATTACAACATTGTTTTCCTGTTATCACTGTGAAGCTGCTTTGAAACAATTTGTATTGTAAAAAGCACTATATAAATAAAGGTGACTTGACTCGACAGTGATTTGGTGACGCAAGAGCGCGGGCATTTGCATCCTCCTCTGGAGAGTTCTCAGCACCGGGGATTTGGTGCATTTCTTTAGCGAAATACAGATTTATTTAATCCATAAAATCATTACTGTGCTGTAAATCATTTGTTTTATGCAAGGCAACATACAAGGACACGATGTCAGTTACCCTATAGCTAGCTAAATCTATTTACATCAGATGTTAACATCTGTTCCCAGAGCTGTGCACTGTTATGGGCAGGTTCTGGAGTCAAGTACTTGTTTATTCTAAAATGTTTGTTAAATGAGTTTAAATGTAAACAGTATTATACATGTTAAAACGAAATAAAAATTTTGCTGTATTAAAAAATGTTCTCATCTGAAATAAAGGAAGATATGTAAACAAGTAATTGTCGTGTATTTTACAAAGGTTTAGATGATTACGTTAATAAATGTAGGCTATATATTTTACAGCAAGTTTGATATGAGTATGTGGTAATTCTTTATTAATTACTAATGGGTTCCCTATATTGTCACTTTAGAAGACTGTTTCAGGTTATAAGTAATTCCTGAAGGACTATCTAATAATTATGTATTAATTACTAATAAGTTCCTTATATTTTTACTTTAGAAGACTGTTTCAGGTTATAAGTGATCAAAACGCCCTCAACCTCAATAGACAGAAAACAGAGGAGATCATCTTCGGCAGCCCTCATGAGTGCCCCATTACACCATTAATCATTCACAATCAAATCTTCATTCAAATATCTTGGAGTGTATGTGGACAGCGACCTATCATGTAGACTACATCTGCAGCAAGGTTATTTTTTAAGGAGACTTAGGTCATTCGGAGCGAGTAGCGAAATCCTGTCTCTTTTCTTTGTGTCAACTATTCGAAGCATTCTGCAGTATGGAGGCGCAGTGTGGTTTGGGGGCCTCTCAGCTCATTTGAGGGCCAGGATTTTTCGGCTCCGAATTTGTTCAAAATTGGTGGGACAGTCGGTTGAGAAGGCGTTTATTGAAAGTCATGAAGTACATACTGTACGATTGGCTCATAAAATCACCCAAGATTATTCCCATGTGCTGAATCAGGAGTATCAACTCCTGCCCTCTGGGAGGCGCTATAGGGTCCCAGAGTGCAGGAAGAACAAATACAAACACTCATTTGTTCCTCTGTCAATATCGACGCTGAATCAATGCATGAGGGGAAAGCAGTGATAGTTTTCCCCCCACTTGTAGCTATTGAAGAATACCCATAATATTATTTAAGTACTTGTGTATACTTTTTATTGATGACTGTATGTTTTTGTTTTTAGTTTGTGTGTGTTATAATTGTTGGAGCTTGTGTTGCAAGACAAATTTCCGTGTACACGGACAATAAAGTACTATCTTATCTTATCTTATCTTAAGTAGCCTAATTCCTAGATAATTATTTGATAATTATTTATTAATTACTATTGGGTTCCCTGTATTGTCACTTTAGAATACTGTTCCAGGTTCTAAGTAATTCCTGAATAACTATTTAAAAGTTATTTATTAATTACTAATAAGTTCCTTATATTTTCACTTTAGAAGACTGTTGCAGGTTATAAGTAGCCTAATTCCTGGATAATTATTTGATAATTCTTTATTGATTACTAATGGGTTCCCTCTATTTTCACTTTAGAATACTGTTCCAGCTTCTATTCCTGCAGAATTATTTGATACTTATTTATTAATTACTAATAAGTTCTCTATATTTTCAGTTTCCCTCAGTCGTTTCCTCAAATACATGAATTTACTCAGTGGCTTTCTATGCTGAGGAAAACAGACACACACAGTGCTGGATATAAAATATACCAATAATCTGAGGATAGTTTTGTATGACTGTTCAGTAGTTACTTCTTAGTTATTTTCTTGAATCTTAATTAGTAGATAATTAGTAGCAGTTCTTCAGGAGGTATGACAGAATTCATTAGTTATTGATTAACTAACTGATACTTAACACAATCATAAAATTATATTACATACTGATTAGTTAACACATCTTCCTTAGTAGTTAACAGTAGTGAAGAAGTAGTTAATGAAGAATTACCTATTAGTTCGTCAATAATTCCTTATTAATTCTGCAGTAAGTAAGATACAGTATTCTAAAGTGTTACCACATATCTTACTCGTCAACCAGATATCTGATATTATCTAATTTGTTATGTCACATTGAAAAAAATCCCTATCGCTCGCGAAACGCTCTAGCCTTCCGCTAGCCTGTTAATCTGCCATCCGTGTTTGGCGTCTTTCTTTCTCGTGGCTTTTCGAATCCATCAAACAACTGTGGTGAGTAGGATCAGTCAACAAATACGGTGAGTCATGTCTTCTCTATTATTGTCATTTGCACTTCATGACACACACATGTATAGTATAGCCTTCTTTGTCAGCGCTGAGGGATTACATGTGATAAATGCAGGGAGACAGTCAGGCTTCAGAACTAGAGACACGCATCCTAACTTTAATCGAGGATAGTAAGAGTGCAAGGGTTTTAGAGACCGCTTTGGATGCAGTAAAGTGTCCTTGTCCTTGTATCCTTGTATAGTGAACACTGTACATCGTTGGGTTCCGGTGTTCTGACGATTCATGCTACCCATCCAGATTTGCTACTTACCGGTTATGCGCATGTGCAGACTCAGTTTTTGTTTTTTTTTGTTTTTTTTACAAAAGGTACATTTTCCTGCTATAATGTATAATTTCCCTTTAAAAAATGCTTACTACCATATGAATATTTGTATGGTCAGCCAGCTGCAGTGCCAGCCTCATCAGCCCTGTGAAGGCCTCATCGACACTGATCCTCTACTCGTCTCCGCACCGGCGCGACTCCGACCTCCAACCAGAGGAACTCGATAAATATTCTGAATGTTCTGATCCAGTCTGACCTCTGACCTGTAATCACACACTGTTCACTCATTGGCCAGAGGAGACCTGAGCGACTGAGTCTGGGTTCTCCCGAGGGGTTCTCCATTCTGTCCCTGATGGAGTTTGGGTTCCTCCACTGTTGGCTTTTGGCTGCTTAGTTGGGGACATTTAATATTCAACTATATTATTGATCTGCCTTACTTCATGTGGACATTGACGCAATTTTCTTCTAGAAACAAACTTGTTGTATTATTTTCCTGTTATCACCGTGAAGCTGCTTTGATACAATCTGTGTTGTAAAAAGCCCTATATAAATAAAGGTGACATGACTTGACTTGTTCATTCTTGTTAACTAAGGTAGTTAACTAATGAACCTTACTGTAAAGTGTTATGTATATTTCAACATTTAATAATACATTATGAAAAATATATGTTGTGTCTGTTAATACTATTTAATGTTAATGAAGAACTAGGACCGAACAGTTGTATTTTCATTAACTAATGTTAATAAAGATGAATAAATACCGTAGAAAATGCATTGATTGTTGTTATTTAACTAATGTTAACTAATGGGCTCTTGTTGTAAAGTGTTACAAAGCTAACTGTAAGTGTGTGTTACCTGTGAGAGTCAGAGAATAATATGAACTCCAGCTGTGTTTTGTTTTTTAGGTTCATCCTTCAGGAAGGATTGTGTTGTTGTTGTGCCGGGAAAAGGCGTTCCCCAGGTGCCGGTGCTGTGGAAAGTTACCTCGGGATCTGAAGAGGAATTTATCTCCAAAAACACATCACATCGCATTTATCAGGAAACCATGAAGTGAGTACTGCATTTAGCTGTGTTTTAGATAAGACAAAGACATGGAATGAAGTTTGAATGAAACACATTAGTACATTGGTCAGTTATAAATAATATAATGTTAAGTTAAAAGTGTAACTGTGTATCGTTTTCTCTTAAAGTGAAAGCAGAACGGAGGAGGGTTTTGTGTTAGTGCAAACACTCTCCGTGTCAGATGTTTGGCAGGAAGATTTCTATCTAAACTTCACCTGTATGGTGATCGGCAGCCGAGGAACCCAGAGTGGACAGTTCTCCCTCATTCCTGCAGGTGCGACTCAACCGTCACATCATCACACATCACACCGTCACCACCGTCACACTGTCACCACCGTCACACTGTCACCACCGTCACATCACACATCACACTGTCACCACCGTCACACTGTCACCACCGTCACATCACACCATCACCGTCACACTGTCACCACCGTCACATCACACCATCACCGTCACACTGTCACCACCGTCACATCACACCATCACACATCACACCGTCACACTGTCACCACCGTCACATCACACCATCACCGTCACACTGTCACCACCGTCACATCACACCATCACACATCACACTGTCACACCGTCACACTGTCACCACTGTCACACCATCACACTGTCACCACCGTCACACCGTCACCACCGTCACATCACACCATCACACATCACACCGTCACACTGTCACCACCGTCACACCGTCACCACCGTCACATCACACATCACACCGTCACACTGTCACCACCATCACATCACACCATCACACATCACACTGTCACACTGTCATCACCATCACATCACACATCACACCATCACACGTCACACTGTCACCACCGTCACACCGTCACCACCGTCACATCACACCATCACACCGTCACACTGTCACCACCATCACCACCGTCACATCACACCATCACACATCATACTGTCACACCATCACACTGTCACCACTGTCACACCATCACACTGTCACCACCATCACATCACACATCACACCGTCTCCACCGTCACATCACACCATCACACGTCACACTGTCACCACCGTCACATCACACCGTCACACATCACACTGTCACACCATCACACTGTCACCACTGTCACACCATCACACTGTCACCACCGTCACACCGTCACATCACACCATCACACCGTCACACTGTCACACTGTCACCACGTCACACGGTCACCACCGTCACATCACACCATCACACATCACACCGTCACACATCACACTGTCACCACCGTCACACTGTCACCACCGTCACATCACACTGTCACACTGTCACCACCGTCACACCGTGACACTGTCACCACCGTCACATCACACCATCACACATCACACCGTCACACTGTCACCACCGTCACACCGTCACGTCACACCATCACACTGTCACACCATCACACTGTCACCACCGTCACATCACACTGTCACCACCGTCACACCGTCACACTGTCACCACCGTAATATCACACCATCACACTGTCACCACCGTCACATCACACTGTCACCACCGTCACACCGTCACCACCGTCACATCACACCATCACACATCACACCGTCACCACCATCACATCACACCGTCACACTGTCACCACCGTCACACCGTCACCACCGTCACATCACACCATCACACTGTCACACCATCACACTGTCACCACCGTCACACCATCACACATCACACCGTCACCACCGTCACATCACACCATCACACATCACACCGTCACCACCATCACATCACACCATCACACCGTCACACTGTCACCACCGTCACACCGTCACCACCGTCACATCACACCATCACACTGTCACACCATCACACTGTCACCACCGTCACACCATCACACATCACACCGTCACACTGTCACCACCGTCACACTGTCACCACCGTCACATCACACATCACACCGTCACCACCGTCACATCACACCATCACACTGTCACACCATCACACTGTCACCACTGTCACACCATCACACTGTCACCACCGTCACACCATCACACATCACACCGTCACACTGTCACCACCGTCACACCGTCACACTGTCACCACCGTCACATCACACATCACACCGTCACCACCGTCACATCACACCATCACACTGTCACACCATCACACTGTCACCACTGTCACACCGTCACACTGTCACCACCGTCACACCGTCACCCTGTCACCACCGTCACTATAAATTAAATCATCTGAAATAATCATTTGAATTATTGAATGTATTAAATTAATAATTACTCCTCATTTATGTTGATTCAACATAAAGATACGTGGACTCAATGTGTTAATATATGTGTTAATATTTTTATTATTAAACCATAACCCTAAGTTGTTTACTTATTTAAATAACATTTTGAATGCCCCTTTCTCCATTATTTAACCATATATTATTAACTAGTTTATTGACTTGTTCATTTTTGTAGATACCAGCATCTTTTCATAACACATTTGTCTTGTATATTGATTAAGTAGTTATTTATTCTGTGTTTACAGAATGACATGTTTTAAAGTTTATATTGCTTTCAAATGGTTTTGAAGATTGGTATGTGGAAAATAATATTTCTATAAGCAAGCATATGATGTACTTTCACTTGTCTATTATACCAGCAACACATGAACAGATTTCCACATCCACAGATCCGAATCTCTTCTTGCTTCTCGGGCTTGTCCTGGGGTCGGTGGCGCTGCTTTTCGTGACGGGAGTTTCTCTGTGCACCGTATTCAAGGTGGAACTGGCCTTGTGGGTCCGGACTGTGTTTCCATTCCTCTACAAAACCACAGGTACTCGTGTAAACAGGAAATCTACTTTTGCACATTAGCATTGTCGCGCAGTTACTTGGAAATAACACGGTTGCATTAACTGGAGTTCACACCTTCCCCTGCGATGAGAGCATTACAGGACATGCTGAAACTGTGTTTCTGGTGATGATTCTTCTAGATGGAGATGGTAAGCAGTATGACGCCTACATTGCCTACCCGAGAGTCCTTGATGGCTCGAGTGAAAAGGCTGAGGTGTTTGCCATGAGCACTTTGCCGCAGGTCTTGGAGGGCCGGTACGGTTATAAGCTCTTCATCCTGGGCCGGGACGGTCTACCTGGAGAAGGTAAAGAGTTTAGAACAAAAGACTCTAAGATAAACCAGCGCTTCTTCACATTGGAAATCATTACAAACATTAGCTGTATTACAGTAGTGTGGGCTGCATGATTTAGGGAAAAAAAATCTATTTGGGAGTTTCGGTGTGTATATCTCACGCAAAATATTCCCAAACACAAATATAATGATGTTCTCATCATAATTCTATGTAGCTGATATTACAGACCCTGCAGTGTTGCGCTGAACTGTATTTTCCTTTTATGAAGTAATTTCAATCATATTTCAAGCAATTTAAAACTATCTTGTTGAACAGTGCACATCTAAATCATCCATTATTTATCGGCTTTAATGTATCGGCCAACTCTTGTTATCGGGCCGATAATGATAACATTATAGATGAAGATATATCGGCATCGTGGCCGATATATTGTGCGTCCCTACTGTGAGGGTAAATCCCGACGTTCTGCTCCTCGTGTTTGCAGCGGTGGTGGATGTGGTCGAGGAGGCTCTGACCCGCTGCCGTCGACTTCTTCTCCTCTACACCTCCACGTCTCTCTGCAGTCCCGAGGCGCTGGAGTGGGCCGAGCAGCAGACGGGTCTGCACCGAGGGCTCGTGGAGAACACCGTGAGCATCGTGCTCCTGGAGCTGGAGGAGATCCGAGAGCCCGACCGCCTGCCTCACTCCGTCAGACTCCTCAAGGAGAAACAGGGAGCGTTACAAGCCTGGAAGAGAAGGAAGAGGTGGATGTGCTGCGACTGGAAGACGGAGAAGCGCTCGACCTCTCTCGACCCCTCGGCTCGCTTCTGGAGGGAGGTGCGCTACCACATGCCTGTCAGAGGAAAAGCCAAAAACAGGAATTGGTTTAGTTTCTAGCTTGAAGTGATGCAGTCAGCAATCTGGAGGTGAAAAGCTTTAGCTATGTGTGGGTTTTTCTTAAAAAGATCTTAAAGAAAGAGTCTTTATTTGTACATTTATGAGCCAACCATAATGTAATAGAAAGAATGACAGCTTGACTGTCCACCACGGTTGCCTCCATCGGCCTGCCGGCTCTATTGTGCATGGAGGAGTCGGGTCCGAACTGGTGTGAAAATTAACAAAGTGTGACGTCATGCGCGTTCTCGTCTGCTTGAGCTTCAGTAATCGCTAGCAGTAGTGTTTCAAATGGACTCTGCGGCCAGCCTCCTCCGGCACAATCCAGAGACCCACGGGAACGAGCCGGAGACGGCTGCAGTTTCTCTAACGGCCACTGGCGTCAGTAACGGCTCGACATTTCAGAACTTCCGCAATGCTCCAGCCTTTATTCCAGAGGTTGTTTTTTTAATTTTAGTAAAGAAATATAAACAGATAAGCCAAACATGTCTTTTCTCTTTATTTTCGGAGACAAGCAGAGTCTCAGAGTCTAATGTATTTTGACTAGACGTGTATTTTTGTTTTAGAGAGGTTCATTTTTTTAGATTTTTTTCTTCTTCTGGAGCCCAGTGGTTTCTCTGAAAACAACCTAAAAATATCCCCCACAGACCTCTAGATGGGAAGCACCAGAGATCTGCCCTAGTCTGAAACCAGACCACAGTGTTTTCAGAGAACTAAGAGATCTTGCACACCATTCATTCTATGGACACAAAATACAAAGCTGTAAATACTATGTCAGATGTAAAATATAAAGAAAATACAGAAATGATGTATATAAAAACCAAAAGATTGTATGTTTTTTGCTGCACACGTACTGTGCTCTTGTGTTCATGCTGTGATTGGATTCACAATCTGTGATATATTTCTTGCTTAATGTGTTCTATTTTACTTTTATGATTTTTACTCCAAATATTTTTACTTTTTTTATTTACTGTATGAATATTCATATTTAATATGAATATTCAATTCAGATTTATTTGTATAGCTCTATACAAAGTACAATAGAGGCCATATTACAATTTACAGTGATCTGTGATCAGAGGAAACCATGTTATGCGTTTCAGAAATGTGCATATCACAGTTAGTTAAATATGTATCAATTTAAAAATGTAATAATTTAAGGCGGAAACAATGAGCTCATTGAAGTAATGAATACTTGTTTGTTAACAATTGATGATGACATTAAGAAAACTTGTAGCAATACGCATAGATTTTTTTAAGTGCCCCATGATGCTCTTTGGGATATCACCTTTCATATAGTGAGTAATAAAGATGTTAGTAAATGTAAAAGCTCTGCAGTTTCACCTGTTTGTCATGTTCGTGTGATCTTCTCGACGTGCTCTTCTTTCACAGCGACCGACGGGCATCACGCCGCGAGTGTGAACATCACGAGGGTTAGGGTCCATTTGGGACAGAGAGCCGTTCGTCGTCAGTATATTTAAATGGAAATGCAATGCCACTGTACATATTGCATTGGCATATTACATTTTAAATTATTATATTGCCACATATATGCCACCATAATCATGTGCCTGTGCGTCATTTGCTAATACCGTCACTGGAGATTCCAGGTTTCGTTCAATGTTGCCAGTTTCTGACATTCAGACTTCAGATCAGTCACACATGCTCAGTTTAGAAATAAAGTGAAATTAAACATCTGTGCACATCTCTACCATTAGAGACGGCTTTATTCTGTCACTCACTTTAAAAAAAAAAATAAAAAAAAAATGAATATTTGAATATAATATGTGAATATTTTCCGGGGTGGGCTTATTTTTGGGCATATTCAACTCAAACCAAAAGCGAAACATGATTTAAAATTCACCACGTTCACTTTATTATGACTTAAAGAAAAGTGAAATGATTTTTATTATGTGTAATAGAGAATAGCCTACATAAAAGGGCGAATGCATCACCGAAACTGACGGTTTGCGTTTCTCTCCACGATCGTGCTAAACCGCATGTGTGTGTGTGTGTGTGTGTGTGTGTGTGTGTGTGTGTGTGTGTCTGGAGGAGATTCCGAGAAGCGCGTGTTTCTGAGCTTTTACTGTGGGATCCGCTGCTCGAGGTAAGACTCACTAACCTTCACTCTCAGTAAGAAAACTGAATGTCTATTCTTTTGTGTTTGTGTGTTATTTTAGTCTAAATATCGACTTTAAACTTTGTGCCACAAACGCTCATTTCTTCGGGGAAATCCCTCATTCTTCGCTGAGATTTATCCCCTTCACACACAAACGTCACATGGAAAACCCGAGACTGAGCATCGTTTTCAAGTTTTAATTCCTAATGATCGTTTATGATGCTTTTTAACCGTAAAGAGTGAAACTTGAACAGAGAATATCGCGTGCCAACTGAAATGCGGGGCTTTTGTTTTGTTTCTTGGGAGAAAACGGGAAATATGACAGAACATGTTCGTATTTGAGTTAGGTTGCCTGTCGGGTTGTTTCTATCAGACACTCTTTTAAAGCATATGAATATTGTGTTTGTCTCTTCTGTTGTCAATGCAGGCGCTGCTGTTAGAACCGGTTAAACCACTTTAACGAGAACCCGAGATGAGCTTGTCCACGGTTTATTTTCTATGGATTTTACTATCCACCCTTTGGTTGGCAGGTAAGGGGACTGTTTTGAGTGAATTCAATGGTTCGGTTTATGAGCATGTTACTCTATGGGGAAAGTTTGGACTTTTTGTTTCTGTTTCTGTTGCGCTCGGACGTTGTTCAAATAACGGGAAAGAATGAATTATAGCTATCTATGCATTAATTAGCTCTCAGCTATTGTGTAAATTATCATTGTTTGTGATGATGTTGAAGTTTCAGTTCTATGCGTTAACCATGTACAATTTCCCCCAATTTCATGCATTGACGGTCTTTTACATGCTGACCTTAAAACGCGTTCTGTGTTCTCCTCAATTCCGAACTGAAAGCAGGTCAGTAGGCTTCTCTTCGCCTCTTTTACTTTCCGTTCAAAGTTCAGACTTGGCTAATAGTCGCTCAAGAATATAAGTCGCTTTTGCTCGAGCATATCAGTGGACATAAACACACGGTATATTTACACACAATTAAGAAACAAACAAACAAAACGGTTAGGGTTTAAAAAATAGAAATAAATAAAAACAGATATCACATCTGATATGTTCGAAATCACAAACAAATATGTACGAAATCACATCCAGCATTTCGGTCCCCGGTCATTTTTCTAAGTGTGTAATGAAAGTTGTGAAACAATTGCTTAATATTAACTCTAATTTCGGTGCTGCAATGATTCGCACATCGACCTCCTCATCTGAGCTGATTCAGCACTCAAACAACACTCGTCGTCAATGTCAAAATGTCTGAGATGACCAATCAAAGCACAGTGGACGGGATTTATGTTCCCAGAAGCGCGAGCCGAGCCGAGTGCGACGCTTCAGTTGACGGTCATATAGTACAGAGCGGGATAAAGTAGATTTTTCTTCTAAAATTATAATTTTTATCAAGCTTGTATATTTAGGTTCAGTAATTTAACTTAAATGGCAATGAAGATTACCTATTAATTGCCATTTAAGTGAAATTACTGAACTTAAATACACAAGCTTGATAGAAATGGTCATTCTAGAACAAAATTTCCAATGGCACTTAGAGGCTTTTGCATCTGAACTCTTCGTATATTCTTTACATATTTGACCAGTATCAGCACTGGGATTTTTCACTGTTTGTATCACTCCACTGCCTGTGTTTGTGTAACTTGCATCATTAAGCCAGTAGGTGGTGACAAGCAACTGTCTATGATTGAGGAATTGAACCATTAAATGAACAGATTAGTCTAAAACATTGATTATTGTAATACATTTCTAACCTCACAACTCAAAATGTAGGAATGGTCACATCTACATTTTCCAATTGGCCCAAGTGAAATTCTGCTAATTTAATTTGATCACTTTGCAGAATTTCACTTGGGCCAGTTGGAAAATGTAGATGTGACCAGTCACTAGAAAATGTTGAGTTGGGAGGTTAGAAATGTTTTACAGCATACTAATTGCTCATATATGTCTCTAGACACAGAAGGATTGCATTGGCGTTTGATTTAAATATAATCTCTGCAACATAATTCTTGAATCTTCTCTTATTTAAGGCCATTCTTGTTTCGAAAGTGTTATTTACTGTCAACAATAAGCATACACTTTGTATATTTCGATCCATTCATTGCAACATTTAAACTGATTCTCATGTTTCATGCTTGACAAATAATATGCTTCTTCCCACTGGCATGCTTTTAAAGCTGCTGTTATCCATTTTATTGGCCTTCAAACACCTTAAAATGTGCAGATCAGGAAAATACGATTGTTCTCAGGGTGGCTTGCCCCGAACCACCCAACAAGCATTTGGGACCTCAGTATTTGTAAAACTCTGCGTACGTCCCTGCATACTTTGACTTGCTCTATTCAGTGGTTCTTAATTGTTGAATGCACTATTGTTTTGTCAACTATAAGGGATCTTCAAGTAAGAGACGCTCAAAAAATAAGTACACATGAACATATTTATTTTGCTTAAAGAAGCACTTCACCCATTTCAACATTAATAATAATAATAATAATCTTTATTTTTATATAGTGCCTTATACTGTATAGCAGCATCTCAAAGCACTTTACATAAAAAATGAGGATAAAAACACAATCCAAGTGTAACCCCTACACCCGGGTCCCACACGACGGGCCTCGAACCCGGGTCTCCGGCATGAGAGTCAGGCGCTCTAACAAGGAGGCTAAAGACTGCAGCCCCTAGCATCTGTCTCTAGAGCACCTATTGAGATCAGGGGAGTGAGGTTTACTTGCACAGCAACTAACAGCTGGCCTCCAAAATGAGGATAAAAACACAAAAAACTAAACGAACAATAAGGGTTAGGGTTAGCCAAAATAATAACAAACAAGGTAAACACAAAAATCACATAAAAGCTTCCCTAAAAAAAGTAAGTTTTAAGGGACGATTTAAAAGCTCCAAGGGATTCTGCATCCTTATCTCAGAGGAATCCCACAATTTAGGAGCCAATGAAGAAAAGGCCCGATCACCCATACATTTTAGCCGTGTTGTTTGGACAGTTAAAAGACCAGCTTCAGAAGAGCGTAGTGCACGTGAAGGAGTGTATGGAATTAAAAGTTCACACAAATATTGAGGGGCCAAATTATGCAAGGCCTTATACGTGAGCATGAGAATTTCAAAAGCAATATGGAAACTAACAGGAAGCCAGTGCAATTTTTCCAGGATAGGTGTGATGCATTGCACTGGTCCCAGTCAGAATTCTAGCAGCTGAATTCTGTACCAACTTAATCTTTATTGAAAGTGGATCATATATGTAGTCACAATGTAAAATAATTTTTGAAATTGGTGCCCTCTTGACTGAGAAAAGACAAAAAATAACCGAAGGGTGCATTTGTATGTAAGACAACAACTCCCACAATGCACCACATTGCACAACTCCGCAAGCCACACCCACTAATCTGGAACAGTGCAAACAGAGAATTCACTCTTGGGTCTACAAGGCTAACGTTAGCTGTCATCAGAGTTATAAATTCATTTCACACAAAATGTCTAGTTAGTTGGCTGTAGCGAGCAGGACGAGGCCGGTGGCATGAGTGATAAGACACACACCGGTCTCGCGTCTCTCACAGAGGTTAGGAACAGGCCTGATGTTGTGCTTTGTTTCTGTCGTGTGTAGATAATAGTCGTCAATGAGGGGCTGCTGGCTTATTACTTCTGTTTTGTATTTGTTCATTTTACTATTAAAATGTTGAAATGTTCGCCGGTTCCCGCCTCCTTCCTCCCACAACAACAAACCCCGTTAACGTTAACCCTGTACTTATGTCATTTTAAAACTGTCTTCTACACATGCATTTAAACAATAATTAGTCTCTCAATGACAAATTTCTTTTCATGTTTTCGTCTTGAAGAGATGGAGATGCCCATGACGCATCGCAGATCAGCTAACTTCGTTGCTGGTCTTGTATTTAATCTCCATTGCGAAAGAAACAGTCAGAATGTGAGTGTGAGCTGGAGTCGTGTTCCCAGACAGAGCTTGGGAAACATCACTGGGATAACCATTAAGGACAACGCACTGTGGTTCCTTCCAGCCGAGCTCGTCCACAGCGGAGAGTACTCCTGTTTCAGCAGGTATTGCTTCAGTTTCTGTTGAGTTGGGTTTACACGTGCATACTGAATACTGAAACCCACTTGTTTAAGGACCTGCTAAGGACCATTTACAGTGTGAGTAAAGTTGAAAATGCTCTTTCGGTCATTCAAAATGGAACTGAGTCCTTTTAACACTCTCTTGGCATTAACAAGTCTTTTTTTTAATGAAAAAGAAATGGCCGAATGATCAGAGTTCTTTAACAAATATCCAACTCTTCTTTCTAACGTAGCGGAGGATTCATCAGAAGAATCTGACTCTAGAGCGGGGTAAAATTTATTCAGGGCTGTTTTTCGATTGTACATAACAAATTTTCAATAAAATCTCCCAGTCATTGAGGGGTGGTGATGGCACGGTGGATCAAACGCATGCCTTTGGTGTGAGAGAGCCGGGTTCGAATCCACTGTGAGACACCAATGTGTCCCTGAGCAAGACACTTGACCCCTAGCTGCTCCAGAGGCGTGCGACCTCTGACATATAGAGCAATTGTAAGTTGTAAAGACTAAAATTGTATTATTTCCAATTCCCCTCAGACTGCAACTTGGTGTCGGCCCAGATCCAGGCCACATTCGTTACGTGTGGGTTCAGCGTGTACCAGATGTGGGTCGGATCAGATCCGACTGTTGCTGTTTGGGCCTCTTGTTAAAAATGGTTTAGATAAAACCAGATTAAAATATACCAAAAATTGCAGGCAGGTGAAGAACCTATAAAGCCTTTATTTCATCACCTGCTGGCAGTTTTTGGTATATTTTAATCTGGTTTTATCTAAACCATTTTTTGGCTGGGCTGCACCATTAATGTTGGAGAGTGATTTTGTGGCTCTCTGCGATGGCACCACGAGCCGTCGGTCATTGACTAATCGTGGGCTTCTGGTACTGTAATGTAGACTCGTAGGAGCGAGGGAAAGCAGGACTCCATTAAGACTATACTCACCATTATGAAAAGTGATTAGCTTGCTTAAAATTGACAAAAACATAGTTGATGACTAAAAACAATAATTTGATGACTCTTTAGAGAAGACAGTGGCATAATACGTTTTTTTAGCCATATTAAAGGAGTAGTTCACTTAAAAAAAAACTTTGTCTGATAATTTACTCACCCTCATGTCATCCAAGATGTCCATGTCTTTCTTTCTTCAGTGGAAAAGAAATGAAGGTTTTTGATGAAAATATTCCAGGATTTTTCTCCATATAATGGACTTCAATGGGGACCAAACGGTTCAAGGTCCAAAAGACAGTTTCAGTGCAAACTGTTCAAAGGGCTTTAAACGACACCAGACGATGAATAAGGGTCTTATCAAGCGAAACCATCGGTCATTTCAAAAATAAATAAAAAGTTTTATAAGCACAAGTGCTCGCCTTGCTCTGTTTCTGTGATGTGCGTTCGTGACTCTCCTGTTCAAACTCATTCATTAAAATGAACAAATCTTTTTTCGACTCATTTGGTTCATTCAATAAACGAAATGACTCAAAAAATAAGATTTGTTCATGAACCTGGTGTCGTTTAAAGCCCTTTGAACAGTTTGCACTGAAACTGTAATTTGGACCTTGAACCATCTGGTTCCCATTGAAGTCCATTATATGGAGAAAATCCTAAAATGTTTTCATCAAAAACCTTAATTTCTTTTCGACTGAAGAAAGAAAGACATGGACATCTTGGATGACACGGGGGCGAGTAAATTATCAGCAAATTATCAGTTTTTTTTTTTTTAAAAGTGAGCTACTCCTTTAAAACAGTAGTCGCATGTATGGGTACATTTTTGTATTTTTGTATACAAATATTGAGAACTGAGAATTATCTAATAAAAATCAAGGTGTAGAGTGTCAAGATGCAAAGATAAAATAAAAACACTTTTGCACTGGCACTGTATGTTTTGTGTTCAGAATTCCATATCGGCCATTCTTTCATCTCACCGGTTGTTCTTCTTGTGTTCTTTATGGCAGAAATGGCAATGAAACCCAGGAAATTATATTTGAGGTCTCCGTTCAGAATGAAACATGTCCCCGTAAGAACAGAGAAGATGACGTAAAGAGCATAAAGGAAGTCGAATGTTTCCTTCCTCATGTCTTTGAGTTAGACCCTGGAGCTCAAGTGAGCTGGCGAAAGGTAAGACACTTTGACAAAAAAATAATAATACCCCTTTATTTACAGGGCCAAACTGGACACAATATTAACTTACAATATAAATACAAGTAACATATGGTAATAATAAATAATCCAATATAAAATAAAAGTTCATGTTTACATAATATCAAATAAAACAATATTATATTAAACAATGTAATTATACTGGAGATTAATAGAGATTACTATCAGGGTAATATAATATCGACTACAGGTTTCCATGTTTTGTCTGCTTTAACTAGTCATGTAGGCTAAGTTATCTTAAGCTCTTAGCCAGTTTGATATTTCGTTTCCACTGCGTCTTATACGCAGCTTTGAGTAAACATATGAAAGAGAACGTCTCTGTGTAACCTATGTTCTCTGAATAGGGAACGAGATGCTGCGTTCGCTGCCAAATATCTCGCGCTGCCGACAAGCTTCCTTTTTCGGTAGAGAACTCTGAGGAGCAGATGATGCGCGCGCTAATATAACATGACGACGGGAGAGTCAATGTGGCGCGAATGGTGATTCTTCTATATCCATAGACCATCGTTATTCTGACGCGTAATTTTACACGTGAAATGCAGCCAAACATTTCATGTGTACATTCCCACATGGAAAAAACCTATATAGACATATATGTTTTAATATAGGTTTTGATATATGTTTTTAATATATGTGACATATATAAAATTGGCCGTTTTCCTATATTATATGTACATATATGCACATATATGTACATATATACGTGCACATATGTACACATATATACGCACCTATATAGGTACATGTATGCACACATATATGTACACATATAGGTGCATATATTTGTGCATATATGAACCTATATATGTACATGTATGCATGCATATATGTACACATATAGGTGCATATATACATGCATACATGTACCTATATATGTACATGTATGTACGCATATATGTGCACATATAGGTGCATTTATACATGCACCAACATGTTTACCTATATTAGAATAATTATTAAAATCCATAGCTACTAGGCAACATAAATAATAGTCCAAAATGTATGCATTTAGATTATTTATTTACTTAAGATCAAATAGTACAAAAACAAAAATAAGACAAAAAAACTGGATAGAAAAAAAATCTTTTTGATCTTCTCAGCTCCATGAGCTTTGAATTGATAGACGTGCCCATCTCCCCTCGGCTGGCTGACGGACACTTCTTCAATGTAGCATCTAGAGAAGACAAAAATAATAATAATAATAATAAGAAGAAGAATATAGTACTTCATCAGGAACCCAAAGTGCTTACAGTACAGATGTGATCGGACACATATTTTTTGATAAAAGGTTGATCATTTTAAAAAATGCGTCATGTAAACATGTCAATTGGAAGATTCTGAAGATTCTGAAAAATCTGAAACGTGGCTTAAGAAAAGGAAAGTTAGGATCAAGAACTGAGCAAGCGATGAATTAGTATTATAGGTTCCAAGTAGATATAGTAACAATAATCCCTTATACAGTCTCAATTGATGCCTAATAAACATTGATACAAGTAGGCTATGGTTAAAGTGGTGAACTTATAAAATCCTAATGCGTTGAGAAGGGAAAACAAAACTTTTATACATTTACTCACCAATAATGATGCCTTTTTAATTTGGTCAAGGGCGACCAGCTGCTCCCCATCCCCTCTGGTTGGCTTCCCACCTTAAAGTGAAATTTCAAAATTATTATAAAAGGGGGTTAAAATGAAGCTTGTGAAAGCAATACTTTTTTTATATACACATCACATTTTCTTGAGGTGCAAGGAAATACAAAAATGGCAAGTAAAAAAGCGATGGTATGCCCGCACACAAACATAATTTATTCCACAGAATATTAATTGTTTTTTACGGACAGAAGAGATTAGGAGAATGTTTTGTACCATTCAGGTTGTTTTTCAGCAAAGTCTCCAGATCAAATGTGCCCAGCAGCAGATTCCACACCATGGCAGTAGCAGAGGTGGCAAGGAGGGCTGCTTTCCACACTTCTGCCTGACAAAACACCCCAGAGCCCTTTATAACTTCAATCTGAAAAATAATTTATTCATTTATTGGCATTGTTTCATATTGATTCTTATGCTTAGCTTCCCAATAGTTTATATGTTTTTATGTATGAATGCAGATTAATGATAAAGAAACAAAATAATAATATGAAACAAAATAATAATATGAAATAAAAGTTATTCTCTTCAATAAATTAAAGTGCAAATAACTTAAATCAAATAATTAACACTATCAATCAGCCCAACATCACAAGTCTCTACAGCTCTGCTAGAGAAACAATTTTAAAAAGCAAAATCAGAGGAACTTACCTTTTTGAGCAATAATGGCGAGGTAACTTTTCATTTGAGGTAATTCTAGAAAGAGGTTATATAAAGAAAAAAAAACAATTACAATCACTTAATCCAAATAGTAATGCCCTAACGTTAATGTTTACTATTTGAAAGACATTTCCTGCAACTGTAAAGGCAAGCCCATTGATACGGCTTCACCAATTTCGACCAAATTCAAACTCCACAGGTATTTTTTTTTTTCTGGAGCCGATTGCCTTCTTGAGCAGTTGGCAGAGAAGTATCATTTATTCTCATGACGTTATGTTCTCTAGGCCATGACTTTTGTTAACCCTCTACGAATTCCTCCAGAAAGAAACAAATAAATACACGTTAATTCTAAATTGAATCTTATCAACGGCTAAGTTATTTTAGCACCCACAGTAACGTTACGTTACCTCACCAGCTAATAGGAAGTGTATGGGCTGAAACAGGTGTGTTTGGCAAAAAATAAATGCTAAGTTTATACTTCTCTGCCACCGCAATTTCCACCCTGCAAATAAATATAAAATTAGGAATACTTACGATTGGTGATAAGTAGGACTTAGAGGATCTCCAATGCTGAAATCGCAATTTTTACTCCCAGCCGTTATCTATGAGGTGCCCCTAGGGACATTATTCAGAAATGCCATGCATATACATGTACTTTTCCTCTCACATACACATATGAAACCAAATTCATTCACATACTATAATGAAATGCTCACACACATACAAGTGAAATGCTTTTACACACACAACTGAAACGCTCTCATACATACAAGTAAAAAATATATGCTCACACACACAACTGAAACGCTCACACACACACAACTGAAAAGCTCTCTCACACACAAGAGAAACCCTCACACACACACAACTGAAAATATTACGCTCACACACACACAACTGAAAAGCTCTCACACACACAACTGAAACGCTCACACACACACAACTGAAATCCTCTCACACGCACAACTGAAACGCTCACACACACACACAACTGAAATCCTCTCTCACACACAGCTGAAATGCTCTCTCACACACAACTGAAACGCTCTCACACATACAAGTGAAATGCTTTTACAAACACAACTGAAACGCTCTCGCTCACACAACTGAAAAGCATTTCGGTTGTGTGTGTGTGAGAGCATTTCAGTATGTTGTATGCAAGCATTTCAGTAGTGTGTGTGAGAGCATTTCCGGTATGTTGTATGCAAGCATTTCAGTAGTGTGTGTGAGAGAGAATTTCAGTTGAAACGGAAGCACATTTCAGTTGAAACGGAAGGTGGTTGAAGTCCCCAGTCCAGTTGGTGGCAGTAGTGCACCTCAAGACGAAGAACTAGAAGCTGTAGAAAGCATAGTAAAAACGCGGCAGCCGCGCACCTTTCACAAAGCACCGTTCGTCACAAATACTGTATTAATAATAAAGTGAAAGAAGTTTCATTTAAAAACTTGCCTCAAATTTATCCTGTTAAAGATACTTTAAGAAGATTTAAAATAAACATAGAAGAGTCTTGTGTTTTTTGCCAATCTAATAAGGAGACAATTTTTCATTTATTTTATCACTGTATGTACACAAAACAATTTTGGTCTGATTTGGAAGAATATATAATTACAAAATTGAATGTAAACATCAGAATCAATATTTTTGATGTCATGCTATACTTTGACTTTTGTGGTTTGTCCAAAAAAATGATTTTTGTCATTCAGTTGTTTATTATCCTTGGAAAATACCATATTCACAAATGTAAATGGTCTAATTCACAACCTTGTTTTAAGGCATTTCATTTGGACTTTAAATTATATTATAAAACAATAGAAAACATGGAAAACATGAAAGCTACAAGAACATTTCATCTCCTGAAGGAACTGCATATTTTTTTTAATTTTTTTCCCCTTCTATAATTATATTAATTTATTTGTTATTATACTCTGGTCTATACACTATTGATTTAATTTTGTTGAACAGGTTACATTATCTGTAGTGTTGTCTGTACCTATTGTCCTGTGTATTGTTCAGAATAAAGTAAAAAAAAAAAAAAAAAAAAGCACCGTTCGTTCGCTCGCAATCGCGCAACGTAACAGCAATGTCTGCTCAACAGCAAAGAACATTAACCGAGGCAGCGGGCTTGCTGAGCACCATATTAGCCTCAGCGGAGTCCATACGAACCCTGTCAAATGCCACCACACTCGGGCAGCAACCGACCGTTGCAACTCCAAGTGTGGTGGACACGATGGACAGCCACCTAGCCTCGCTCTTCCCTACCCGCCAGCCAGCGTAGCGGCGTGCCAATGCCAACTGCAGGTCACTTATTGCCAACTGGGTTCGTATGGACTCCGCTGAGGCTAATATGGTGCTCAGCAAGCCCGCTGCCTCGGTTAATGTTCTTTGCTGTTGAGCAGACATTGCTGTTACGTAGCGCGATTGCGAGCGAACGAACGGTGCTTTGTGAAAGGTGCGCGGCTGCCGCGTTTTTACTATGCTTTCTACAGCTTCTAGTTCTTCGTCTTGAGGTGCACTACTGCCACCAACTGGACTGGGGACTTCAACCACCTTCCGTTTCAACTGAAATGTGCTTCCGTTTCAACTGAAATTCTCTCTCACACACACTACTGAAATGCTTGCATACAACATACTGAAATGCTCTCACACACACACACAACCGAAATGCTTTTCAGTTGTGTGAGCGAGAGCGTTTCAGTTGTGTTTGTAAAAGCATTTCACTTGTATGTGTGAGAGCGTTTCAGTTGTGTGTGAGAGAGCATTTCAGTTGTGTGTGAGAGAGGATTTCAGTTGTGTGTGTGTGTGTGAGCGTTTCAGTTGTGCGTGTGAGAGGATTTCAGTTGTGTGTGTGTGAGCGTTTCAGTTGTGTGTGTGAGAGCGTTTCAGTTGTGTGTGTGAGAGCTTTTCAGTTGTGTGTGTGTGAGCGTTTCAGTTGTGTGTGTGTGAGCGTAATATTTTCAGTTGTGTGTGTGTGAGGGTTTCACTTGTGTGTGAGAGAGCTTTTCAGTTGTGTGTGTGTGAGCGTTTCAGTTGTGTGTGTGAGCGTATATTTTTTACTTGTATGTATGAGAGCGTTTCAGTTGTGTGTGTGAGCGTATATTTTTTACTTGTATGTATGAGAGCGTTTCAGTTGTGTGTGTAAAAGCATTTCACTTGTATGTGTGTGAGCATTTCATTATAGTATGTGAATGAATTTGGTTTCATATGTGTATGTGAGAGGAAAAGTACATGTATATGCATGGCATTTCTGAATAATGTCCCTAGGGGCACCTCATAGTTATCTTCCGGCGCGAAACTTGACTTCATCTCATCGGATACGGATAACGTCAAGCGTAGGCGGGTGACGTCATCAACTACGGGGCGCTGTAGCGGCCATTCGGCAGTGCAGCAGCATTCGAATTTATTAACCACTGTGAATTGCTCAGATAGATGGTGGGATGATGATGATTATTTGAATGTACGTTCTATTCACTTTTTTTTTTTTTTTTTTTTTTTTTTGCTACATTTTGACTGTAATGACCTTTAGCCAGAAAAAAAAAACTGCATTCAGACAATACAGAAAACATTGCAATTTGCATTGCATTTGGTGGATGTATCGGTGAATGTGTGGATGTGTATGGGAAAGTGACTTGAAATTGGAAAAAGGGCTTTTTGGTAAAATGAAAAAACAACAAACCCTTTTGTTATACATTTCCTTCTTTTCCACTAAGTCATTCTGATATGTATATAAATATTTATTTATTTATTTGAGCAATATAGTGACATATACACTCTAAAAATGCTTTGGGTCAAACACAAACCCAAATGTTGGGTTAAAAATGCAATTAAAAAAATGTACAGTTGAAAAAGTGAAAGTGAAAGTTGAATTTGGGTTAAAATTTGAAATTACATTTTTAACCAAACATTTGGGTTTGTCCATATTTCACCCAAATTTGGGTTCAAACAACCCAGCATTGTTTAGAGTGGATGAGCTACAAATGACCAGATCCTGCCATGAGCTACAGTATAGGATACTCTTGTAGCACTTATGTGTGGATATAAAGAAGCAATGCAGGAGACCTATATGGCCTGTATATGCACATATATGCACCTAAAATTGCCTATATGTGTCATATATACACACATATGCAGCATATATCTTATCATATATGTGCATATATGCACCTAAAATTGCCTATATGTGTCATATATACACACATATGCAGCATATATATTATCATATATGTGCATATTTGCTGTATATATGCAGCATATATGTGCATATAAACTGCATATAGGTTTCATATATGCGCATATATCCTCATATAGTTTCTTTCCATGTGGGTTTCACGTGTGTTTAATCTCCTCGCTATCAGCAGACGTTCGGTGAGTCTCCCCCATATTGATAACGGCTCCCAGATGATCGCAAATTAGTTCAAATCTCCCGGAATCTAGAGCGAGCGAGCAAGAGCGCGCGTGCGAGACGGATCAGACAGTAGGCGTTTCTCAATGTCAAGGAAGGATCATCGGAAGCCGGAATTTCGAGGATGCTACGTCATCGACGTCCGTCGAAGGACTGTTCCAATGTCGAGGATCCTCAGAATTTCAACCAAGGACTGAGTCCTTCGTTCGGAAAATATCCCATAGACAGGAAAGGATGCATATGTGTAGCCTTCGCGCTCTTAAATCACCCACAATCCTATGCGCAGCTTTGCTATCTTGTTCAAAAAATAAAAAAATGTCGACCGTTAGCGGAGTCGGAGTGATAACGGCAATATGCTTTCAAATGTAAGCAAGAATAATTTCAGTTTAGCCATTTATTTAATGTTTGTTAAACTATTTAACATATCGGCTCAAATTTGCTGAGGGGATTTAAAGCTGTTCCCTTTTACTGGTGATTAACTTTTTCATAGCCTTTTTTGTTGGTCAAATATTTTACAATTGCATGTGTTTTAACAGCTAACGTTAGATCATGTTGCTATATGGAGGTAGTTCTGTTAACCCCGGTAATATAATCGTTTTTGAATGAATAAACTCCTTTTTAAATCAATATTTTGTGTCAAATTATTGATTTATTTGGTAGGTAGCCATGTTATAAGTGGGAAAATGTATAGCGAGGCGGTTGTTACAGCGAATACAACCGGCTGATCAAGACCCCTCTGCTTTAGAGTTTGCGGGGTTGTATTCACTATAACAACCGCCTGGTTATACATTATCCCTTTATTTATTTATTTCTATGAGGACTGACAAGACTAAATAAGGACTGTCAAGTGTATTTAAACAGTGCAGTACACCAGCACTATGATTTTTGCAGCGCCGAAGCGGACCTTTCACTGATGTAATGACGCAATGACGTGCACTTGCTAGCCTGTTCCATTTACATGTTCTCCGAACGCTAAAGAGGACCCTTGCCTAGCCTCTGAAGGAAATGACTTGGAAGGACCCGTCCTGCCAAGGAAGTATCCTTGACATTGAGAAACACCTAGTGCTTCAATAAACCGTATAGTGCGCGCACGTCGGAGAGGGAGAGGGAGACAGCGAGACACTGCGTGTGTGCGCCTCATGCCACAGACTCAGGCATCGAAATCAGGCACCGAAATCTTCATTCTAATGGGCTTTATGCACAGCTGCACTACTTCCTGAACTTCAGCCAGCTCCTTGTTTCCTGTCTGCCATTATTGGCCAAATTGATTAATTCAGGTGTCTCTAATTATTGTTGCCATGACTACTGAGGTCAGGTACACCTGAATTAATCAATTTGGCCAATAAAGCCAATAATATCTGTCTGCAGAGCCGCAGAGCCGCAGTTTCACCCCAGCAGTTTTACACCAGCAGTTTTACCCCGCGCATGCGCAGTTTTTACACCAGCAGTTTTACCCTGCGCATGCGCAGTTTCGCCACAACAGTTTTAAGCAGTTTTATCTGCGCATTCGTAGTTTCAATATAGCAGTTTTACCCGCGCAAATTGTTCAGTATTAAAACGATCTAATGGTTATTTTTACCAATTAGTTTTGCTTATTAGTCTGCAGAGCCACAGTTTCACCACGCACGCGCAGTTTCATCTCAACAGTTTTACCCGTGCACGCGCAGTGTCAATAACCTATATAGTATTTGTTACCAATTATTTTTGCTTACTAGTTATTTTTTTGCTGTTGCTCGCAGGCTTTCAGGTTCCTTTACTGAAATAAAACAGTGCTTGTATCAGGAGCACAATCTTTTAAGTTTTTCCTCCAAAACAATAAATAGCCTGGCCTATATATATATATATATATATATATATATATATATATACACACACTTAATTGCTCAATACCTGGTATAACACAAACTTCTGATTAGACATTCAAAGGCGAACTATATAAATCAATATATGTCTAATTATTCTTAAATTAATTAAATCTGCCTGATGAAACAAATGACTTGAACACAAATTATTAACAATTATTTCAAATATTTTATTAATTTTGAAGACATTACCAAGAATACAATTATATTTCAATTCAATTACCAGAGAGACATACTGATACAGACAGACAGGCATACGATTCAGACAGACAGGCACACTGAAACACATACACAGTGATACAGACAGACATATTGATACACAGCCATACATACTGATACAGACAGACAAACTAATATACATACACAGACATACTGATACAGACAGACAGGCATACTGACATACATACACAGACACACTGAGACAGACAGACATATTGATACACATACAGACATATTGATACAGACAGACCGTCTAATATACATACACAGACATACTGCTACAGACAGACAGCAAGTCTGTCACCAATTAGAAAATAAATAATAATAATTAAATGTCAGGGTTTTAAAATGATGACACTCTTACATTTTTCTTTGTCCTTATAACCTCAGACATGAAAAAGGGCATGACCTCTCTGTTTTTAAATGTAAAATAGAATGTGGCTCTTCATTTATCATCCTCATCCAAAGTTGTGGCACAATGTGAATGTAGTGGAGAAAGGGCTTTCTTCCTCCTCAATGCTGTCAATGCGTGGTGGCAAGTACTTGATCTTCATCAGCGGGTGATTGTCCTTCAAACATTCCACACCTTTCCTGATGCTGCTCATCATATTGGCATTCTTTATGAAAAATATTTGAAAATTAACAGCAATCAACAATTTTATATTTTCAGATAAATAAAACGTCTAAATATATTATATACATTGCAGAACTCTACAAAATACCTCAAAATTGTGTGGTGTCGTGTCCCCCTCCAGCGCTCCTACTCCATACTCAATTTCTCCTGGTCCATTCATCTGTTGTAGAAGAGCACAGTGTGATGTAATGTATTTCAATTGTCCACTACAAAATGTTTCATTTAATAAAATGTATAATTTCATGCATATGCAATGCAGAACCAAACTAAGATTTGATTTACTTCGAATTTGCACGAGAGAATTCATCTATTTGAATCAATCCATTTTACAAAAACAAACAAAAATAACAAAGGTCAATGTCCCTGCCCTAATACAGGGTGTCCACCAGTTAAAATTTTTAAGCCCTTTTTAATACCGCATTATAAAACTACAACATTACATTTAGCAAGAACATATATTTAAAGTAGTGCATGCCTGTAATGATCAGACTAGCTCTAGACCATTTGGCTTGGGGCACATGTGTGTTCACAGGGGTCTTTTAGGGTCTTTCAAGGATCAACCCTGCAACAATGGGACTTGGTGTGTTTTAAGAACCCAACTGATATCTGTGTCCCCCGAAAGTCTAAGTATAGAATATTGTCGACAGACAATAGGATAGATAAATAAATAAACAAAATACTTTGACAACAAAAGCTCACTTCACTGTCAGTGAGGCAAGATCCAACCGCCATGTGCAATCCAACCGCCTCAGCCCAATGTGCAAGCCACCTTCCATGTCTGACAAAATACAAAAAGACAACAATGAGAACAAAGTTGTGCAGAATACTGAGTCCTGAGCAAGGACTGTCCCTAAAGTTAGTTTACTAAAAGTCACTCTGGATAATAGTGTCTGCTAAATGACAAATAATAATAACTAAACCCTAGAAACAAAATTCTCCATGAGGAGAAGGCACCACTTATTGTGTCATGAATGTCATGCTGAGAAAAAAGCAATACTTCCATGAATACTATTAACAACAATAATATTAATATAACGTAGAAATAAGACTTACAGCAGTGAAATCAACGGGTTCATTCAATACGATGTGTAAAGCATACTGAAACATTCATTTTACAATATATTTTTGATTTAACAGAGTGGAGACAGACTGATAAAAGTCCAATAACTTACCATAATCATGAAGACCCGACAGGATGTCATATCGAGTTGATGGGAGATATGCTGAAATGGCAAATTGCATTTCGAAAAACAAAGAAATCAATCAGGACGTTAAAGTGTCCCGAAAACAATACAACAAAATACCCTTACTTTGTTTGTTTTGTTTTTTGTTTTTTTGTTTTTTCATTTTGATCCAACGGCCTGGTGCTGCAAGTTTCCTGCGACATGAATATATGTTAAATAAAAGAATGATTTGTCCAACAGCACTGCTGAACTGACTGCAGTGAAGACAATTTAATAACTTATTCAAAACGAGCGGATAAAACTGCTATAGTGAAACTGCGCATGCGCGGGGTAAAACTGCTGGGGTGAAACTGCTGGGGTAAAACTGCGGCTCTGCAGTCAGACCCTTCTCAATAAAGCCCATTCGGTCTGGTTACTACCGTTTACATCAGAACCGGTTCCCTATTGGCACCCTAATTGTGAATGCAGTGTGCTTGCAGAGAAACTCCGCCCACTCGCTCTTCTGATTGGCTGTGATTTGTGGTTTTGTTGTGAGTGCGCTTGCAGAGAGACTCCGCCCACATACTCTTCTGATTGGCTGTGATTTGTGATTTTGTTGCGTTTGCAGAGAGACTCCGCCCACATCTCGTTCTTGTGCTGTTTTTAAAACACTGAGTTTATTTATTTACAGAAGTGGTGACCACATTTACACTAAATCTGTGTAGCATAAACAGAACTGAAGTGTGCATTGCTTAGAAGACGAGCTTAGACCAGCGTGCTAAAAATGACTAAAAATCATTTTACTTTAAAGGTGGAATACCTAAGATTTTTGCATTAAAATATCCCAAAATCACAAGGCCAGTGTTATATATTTAGTTAAGATGATAACTTACAATATTCCAAATGTTTCAAACAATGTTTAAATCGCGAGAAAATTGAGATTTTAACCAAGGAAACGGGGCGTGTGAGCTGGGAGTCGCTAGTCAATCGCGTCATATCCGCGTTACCTCGGTTTCCGCTCGTACTGCGTGTAGTCCTGGACAAATGCGGAAGTTGTAGTTGTGCGTTCGCGTCTATCAAGCAACAAACGTCAGCTTGCTTCGCGCATTTGTTATGGAACGGAGCACAATTATTCTTTAGCGATTGCACCTGGTTCTGTCGACAAAGACAAGTCTCATAAACGCAAACGTCAACGAACGGGTCAACCAAACGAGACACAAGAAGAATTTGAGACAAGAGAAATAAAACCAGCTCAACACTGGGTGTGGCATTTCCTAAATGGAGAGAACTTCGTGAAAAACTCGAACTAGAAAGAGACGCCGGTCTTGCATGTGTTTTACTTGACAGGTGAGTAACACCGTGTTCTGTATTCAAATTTCATGTCGGTAAACGATGCAAAACAATTAGTATTATTGTTAGAATGTCTTGTTGTCTATGCATATGATGTGAAAAATCGTAAGGTCATATTCACCGCGAATACTTCTGGGAATGTGAACTGTTGGCTGTATCTTAGAAAACGACGTTTATCTGAAAAGTGTTTCAACCGTCCCGGCTCTCTCCTAACATCTGTGATAACTAATTTACTTTTAAACCTTTTTTTTCTTGCGGTTATTTCAGTTTAATGAAAAACAAGCATGTCATTAAACGCAACAGTTATAGAAATCAAACTTTACCTCATCCATGGCAACTAATTTTCGATTCCCGTCTGACTGATTTATTCACGGTGGATTTGAAAACAACAGTTCCCATCATTCCGCGTTCCTCCACGGCGTCATCAAGCAAAGCCGTTGTTGTTGTTTTGAATTTAGCGCCCTCTAGTGGCATACAACCTTAAGTATTGTTGCTTTAATACATCTGGTGGTTAATATTACTTTAATCAAAAATACCAAATAAATGTCAAACAAGTTTTGCAAATGGCAAAACATTGCTTTAGTCATCAATATGTTGAGCATTGTGGGTTCTGGAAGTCTCATTTAAAAGATTCACTTTCACATTTAAATGTTACCTGTGTGTGTGTACATACTCATTGTAATCTCTCTGTTCTCCCTCTGTAGAACTGCCATCCACTCGATGGGAACAACAGGAGGGTTTTCCCGATGAACAGATCCGATGAGATGGTTGGACTCTATACTTGCTTTGTGAACTTTACTCTTGAAGGGCTGAACTACTCTGCTGCCCAGACTACAAACATCTACAGCCGGCCTTCAGATTTTGGTAAATGACCATTCAAATCAAATGATCATGTTTTAAAGTAAAATTACAGCACTCAAAATGCACTGCGCAAAACAATTAAGGGAAACACTGAAATCACACATTTGATCTCAATGAATGGAATATTACATTTGAAAATCTTTATAAATTCTATAATTTGTTAAGAACAACATTTTGTGATAACAGTCATCAACACACTGAGGGCTTGATTCAAAATCATACCAAACATCTATATAAAAATGGAAGTTACAGGCTGATCCTATGTCCTATGAGTGTTTCTGCCCTTCAGCGTTTCTGCCGGCAGATTTGTTATCAACTAAAGATGTTACAAATCTGTCAGTAAGAGGATGTGTGTCTATATTGTGATGGATAGTGAGGATATGCTTGCTGTATATGACACATTTTTTCCCCTAAACAACACATGGCATCGCTTAGAGCACCTTTAATGACATGAAATTTTATTTATTTATTTGTTTTTATTTGAGCAGTAACCATTCAGCTCAAAAGGAGAGAGCCGAAGCAACAGAGCTTATTAGCGCTCCCCCCCAAAATTTTATACAAGACAATTTCTCATTTCACAATCGTTCAAGGGAACAAAGTGCAAAACAACAACAAAGAGACAACAAATATCTGGTCATGGTAGAAGTCCCCCTAATGACAAAACATCTCTTCGTCTCTATACTTTACAAAGATCTTTTGTTTATATTTGTATTTAAAAAGATTGATGTTTGAACTTCGTTTTATAATTATCTCCAAATTATTCCATAATTGTACCCCCTTGACTGTAAGGCTAAAACTTTTCAAAGTTGTACAATGTTTCTGCGTCCTAAAGTTTAATTCATCACGTAATTCATAACAACCAGTACGTTCATGGATCCTTTTTTGTACTTGGCTTGGTAATAATTTGTGCCTTGCTTTGAATAATATCTGTACTGATTGGAACTCAACAATGTCATAAAACTTCATGATCTTAGATTTTAAAAATAGTGGGTTTGTGTGGTCCAAAAACCCCACTTTATGGATTAAACGAATAACTCTTTTTTGCAACATTACTATTGGTCTTAGTGTGCTTTTATAAGTGTTACCCCAAATCATAGAACAATAATACAAATAAGGCAAGATCAAGGAACTATATAACGTATGCAGTGCTTATAATAATATTCAAAATGTGCTTTACTTTTGCAATTACAGAAATGCTTCTTGATATTGTAGTAGTAATATATTTAATGTGAGAGTTTCAAGAAATTCTATCCTCTATAATAACTCCAAGAAATTTGATTTCATGCCCCCGCTCTACAACAACACCCTCTATCTGGATTGCTTCCTGATCATCGGTGTTACTGTACTGCCAAATATCATCATTTTACTTTTACTCAAATTTAGTGAAAATTTGTTTTGTTTAAACCACATATTAACATGTTTGAGTTCCAAGGTAACTGTTTGACACAGTTGTTGTAAATCATCACCCGATGCAAACATATTTGTATCGTCTGCAAACAAGATAAATCTCAGTATTTTTGATGTTTTACAAATATCGTTTATATACATATTAAATAATTTTGGACCCAGAATGGAACCTTGAGGTAAGCCACACACAATTTATTGGCAACTTGACTGATGATCTCCTATTGTCACACATTGTTTTCTATTTTTTAAATAACTGGTAACCCACTGTAATGCTACCCCTCTAATCCCATACTTTTCCAATTTATTAATCAATATGTCATAATTTATTGTCTCAAATGCTTTACTTAGGTCAATAAATAACCCTATTGCATATTTCTTGTTATCAACCGCATTCGTTATTTCATCAATTACATTAAGGAGAGCATATGAAGTTGAACAACCTTTCCGAAAACCAAACTGATTGTCTGAGAGTAAATTATTTCTTTCAATAATCGAGTCTAGAATTAAAAACCTTCTCTAAAATTTTTGAAAATTGTGATAAAAGGGAAACAGGCCTGTAGTTAGTAAAGAGATGCTTATCTCCTGCCTTAAACATAGAAATCACTTTTGCTACTTTCATACTCTCAGGAAATTGGCCAGTTTGCAACGACAAGTTACAGATGTATATTAACGGCTTACAGATACTTTCAATAACACATTTTAAGGTCTTCATATCCATATCATAGAGGTCTGTCGAGGTTTTATTTTTACACCTTCCAACAATGCCCAATATCTCATTTTCCTCAACAGGGTTAAGAAACAATGTCTTGGGATTTGTGTCTATTAGCTCACAATTATAGGACTCAACATTTGCAATTTTTGCAGCAAGATTCCGGCCAACATCTACAAAGAATTTATTAAATTTGTTGACTATTGTGTTCTTATTATTGATAATGTTATCCTCTTCTCTAAAATATTGTGGATAATTGTTTATTCTAGATTTATTTGTTATTAAACTATTTAAAATGTTCCATAAACCTTTAATATTATTCTTATTACTATCTAACAAGTTATTGTAATAATCCTGTTTACATTTTCTAATAATACCTGTCAATTTGTTTTTATATTTCTTATATTTAACCTCCGCTTCTTTTGTTCTATACTTTAAAAAAAATGTGTAAAGTGATTTTTTTTTCTTGCATGCATTCAGCAATCCGAAATAAGAAATAAGAAATGCATGCCCTAATAACATCCACACACAGTTAAAGGACAGTTTAGCGCTGATGGAGAGACTGTGATGGATGATGTGATGAATGTTTCTCTTTGTGTAACAGTGGTGACGGAGCCTAAAATCATCTACCCACAGCAAGAAACACACACTGTAACACTAGGTGAGTGATGGTGATGACAAGCTTAACTCTTCTGTTGCTGTATGTGTCAATTCTAGTTAGTACTTGTACGTGTTTTAACTCGAGGCCATTTATATGTTTTTGCAAAAATATTAGCATTTAGGAATTATCTCTTTCCATTCATATGTGTAAATTTGAATCGAATTTGTAAAAAAACACAGCATATTCATTTGAATTTGAACGATATGGAGACGAGCTAATTGAACTTCAATGTAAAGAAAAGTAATGAAACCAAAACATTTTGAAAAGCGCAATAACATGCATGTGAACGCAGGTAAAAGTTTCAAGCTGTGCTGCAAAGCTCTTGTTGGGAAGAACGCCATGGAAGAAACTGATATATACTGGATGAGTGAATCTCTCACTCTGAACTTCAGTAGCTCCACGTAAGGAAAAAAGATGCATTTGCTCTTTATATAATGAGAGAGTGTTTTGTTTATGATGTGACTAACCATTTTGCTTCTGTATGTCTTGTTTTCCAGCATGAAAGAGAGCGAGCAGCTCTACGCACTTTCTGTTTTATTCATCCCAGAAGTCACATATGACTACCTGAACACTGATCTCACCTGTGTGGTTCTACACCCGGCAGGCTCAGATTCTGTAAAAGTCCAGCTTATCCTAGGTCAGCTCTAGGTTACATTTGACAATACTTCTGATTATGTCCCTTTTCACAACTAACTCCTCTTTTTCTCTCAGCTAGTCAGAAGGAGCGTCTTTATTGGATCGGCCTCGGTCTGGTGGCTCTGGTCACGTTACTGGGCGCTGTGGCATTACTCTTCAGAGTCGATCTGGTTCTGGTTTACAGGGATGTTTGCTCGTCTTCTGCCGTATGCAGCGGTGCGTCTTTACCTCCGATTTGTATCGTCTGTTTTCTGTAGAGATGCTTTCAATTACATGTCGATGGTTTGTTCATCTGACGCACCCACTGCTAGCCTAGCTTAGCACAAAGACTGGATGTAAATGGATACAGCTGGAGACAAAATTACGCAAACATTTTCCTATTTACATGTTGTGATTTATGTAGTCACAGAGTGTACAAATAACAAGGTCATAAGAGACACAGCCATCTTTTAACCGTATATTGGGAACTATATTCTCTGAAGGCGAAGCACTGCTACTTGTGCGGAGTGATTAGCGCAGCGCCGTGGTGAGGAGCAGAGTTCGTTCAGAGTTGGAGTAATAGAGTCAGCAATTACTAGATACTAAAAGCATAGTTCACAATCATGGGTGTTTAATGAATGTTGCCTTGTAGGCTACTCTTTTCATTTTGTACTGGTTTTACACAACAAAGCTGCAATTTCTTTGCCAATAGAAATTTCAAGAGATGAAAAGCTCAATGATTGTTTGGTTCAAGCATGTATCAGATAGACAGACAGGGTCCTGATTCTCTGACCTGAATCACAGTCAGCAATCAGTGACAAAAACTGCATAGCACTGCTTGTTTATCATTATTAATCATCAAATTATAATTGTATTTTGTGTTGCTTATTCTTATGTTTCATTTAAGATGGAAAGTCGTATGATGCGTATGTGAGTTATCTCCATGGTGACCGACTCATCTCATCTTCTGCAATGACCTTTGCCCTGCATTCCCTTCCTGAGATGCTTGAAGATCTCTATGGTTATAAACTGTTCATCAGTGGGCGTGATGAACTTCCTGGGGAAGGTAAACATCCTGTCACATGAACACAGCAACTGTCTATAGCTCAAAATATGTATCTCAAACAATTTCAGCCTTTAGACAATAGGAATGTCTATTTATTAGGGCTGTCAGTTAAATCCGTTATTAACAGCATTAACGCAAACCCATTTTAACGGCATTCTTTTTTATCGCGAGATTAACCGTCTTTTTTGGCCTAGCAAACTTTGTATTTTTTTCGCATGCTTTTTCAACAGGCGTGACATTGAGCTTTTTTTGTTTTACAGTCTATGTATGAAACCCATTTATTTCAATGGCTTGCGCCGTGCAAGGACGTTTTGTTGCTTCGTCGACCGAAGCGCAAGCGGATCTAGCTAGATCGGAAACAAAACAACAGGCACAGTGCACACACTCGATTGGGCTTGTGAGCTGGCCAAATAGTTCGTTAAGTTTTCAGTGGATGACGAGCTCGAGACGCTGAAATGGATGCCAATAAGATTCTGAATTAAAAGTTTACTTTTTAAAAGTTGGCAAATGGTTCCATTGACAAGACCAAAGCGATCTGTGTGTTTTGTCGTTGTGAACTGAGCTATCATCATCGCGATCGGAGCACGTCCAGTCTGAAACACCACCGAAATGGCCAAGCACACACACACACACACTGCTGATGGGAATTCTCTGTCTCTGGGTTAACTATGACATTAATGCGATTAATCTCTGTTCAATTTTTTAATGGTTTGACACCACTACTATTTGCTCTGAAATAACTTGATTTCTCCGTCCATGATTCCCTCAATCATTTCATCAAATTAATCATTCAAATTGTTTAAAGGAGTAGTTCACTTAAAAAAAAAAATTGCTGATAATTTACTCGCCCCCGTGTCATCCAAGATGTCCATGTCTTTCTTTCTTCAGTCGAAAAGAAATGAAGGTTTTTGATGAAACATTCCAGGATTTTCTCCATATAATGGACTTCAATGGGAACCAAACGGCAAAAGAGAGTTTCAGTGCAAACTGTTCAAAGGGCTTTAAACGACACCAGATGATGAATAAGGGTCTTATCAAGCGAAACCATCGGCCATTTAAAAAATAAATAAAAAAGTTTAAGCTTTATAAGCTCAAATGCTCGCCTTGCTCTGTTCTGGGATGTGCGTTTGTGACTCTCCTGTTCGAACTCATTCATCAAAATGAACAAATCTTTTTTCGAGTCCTAGAAGGGTCCTAGATAAGAGCCTTATTCATCGCCTGGTGTCGTTTAAAGTCCTTTGAAGCTGCACTGAAACTCTCATTTGGACCTTGAGCCGTTTGGTTCCCACTGAAGTCCATTATATGGACAAAAATCCTGGAATGTTAACAAACGATGTAGTTCATAGAGCGATTTTCACATAAAACTAAATGTTACTCTTCTGTTTTATGACAAACTGCTAACTTTTGACTTTTTAACTTCTGACTTTTGACAAACCGTTTTTGACTTTCAGGATTATCTTTTAAATTGACAAACATCATATGTGTAGTTGAGGGCACAGTTCAGACGGGATAAAAAGATAAGTTGTCTCGCCATTGACTACCATTCATATTTTTTCTGAAATAAGGTCCCATGAGCCGGAAGCGGAGGGGCGGGGCTTAGGCTCTCTATACTTCACGGGGATATGTATTTAATCACGTGAAAATTCTCACCACTGACAACATATATTAGATCTCATTAAACGACAAATTAAACACAATGTACGATTGTATACTATGTAACACGTCACGCTCTCCGTGAGTGCTATTTACGACGGTAACGTTAAAAACAAGTACTCCACAGTTACTCTAGGGGTCGCTGTTTGACAAAAACAGCATTCCTGCCTGGTGTCCCTTTAAATAGATGCAAATAGTTAATCATAAACTATGTCAGGATCTTTTTGTCTTCTGACCCGTTTTAATATGTATGACTGACAAATATGAATTTCATTAAGGTTATTTGTTTGTTTATTAAAATGTTTCTAATCCAAATGAATGGAAATTGTACAAGCACATAAAATATGCAAATCTTAAATTTAGACCTAAGTATTTTTGAGTGTGTATTGTAGTGCAATCCTGCTAAAAAACGAACATTGTTTGTCTCTTTTTCAGCGGTGCATGAAGTCATTGCTGACCGAATGAGCCGAAGTCGAAGGCTGATCATTGTTCTTACATCACAGTCTCAAACCGATGGCACCAGGAAACCCCTGATGTCAGACGATGCTGTGCGACTGGAAGAGCCGTCCTCTGCCCAGATGTGTGCGGCGTACGAGCAGCGAGTGGGTGTGTATGACGCTCTGGTGAAGCAGGGTCTGAAGGTCCTCCTGGTGCAGGTGGAGGACGGGGTTGAAGAAGCTTCACTGCCCGAGTCTCTGCGCTTCATCCGTCGCAGCAAAGGCATCCTCCAGTGGAGGCAGAACGCCAGTGATCGTGCAAACAGAAGGTTCTGGAAATACGTGCGTTACCACATGCCCCCGGCACAGAGGCGCTAACTAGTGCATCTGCACATCTGGGCCTGGTTTCGCAGACAGGGCTTATATTAAGCCAGGGTTATTCCTTAGTTCAATTCGGGCATTTAAGTTGCTTTTATAAATGTGCGCAAGAAAAAAATATTTCTGGTGTGACTCTAGAGACAAAACAATGGCACTGACCTCTTTTTGCTTTCAGTTAAAACAGCTCAAACATGCATTTTAGTCTGAGACTAGATTAAACCTCGTCTGTGAAAACCTTGATAGTGTTTACAAGTCAAGTCACATTTATTTATATAGCGCTTTTTACAATACAGATTGTATCAAAACAGCCTCACAGTGATAACAGGAAAATAATACAACACAGATCAATAATATAGTTGAATATTAAATGTCCCCAACTAAGCAGCCAAAAGCCAAGGCAACAGTGGAGGAACCCAAACTCCATCAGGGACTGAATGGAGAACCCCCCGCAGGAGAACCCAGGCTCAGTCGCTCAGGACTCCTCTGGCCAACTGAATGGATCGAAACATTAAGAGTATTTGTCCATTTCCTTCTGTTAGGAAGTTGAAGTAATCACGCCGGTATGGAGACGAGTTGTTGAGGATCAGTGCCGATGGCCTGGGTTTACAGTTGTTAGAGCAACAGCCAGTCCTTTCTTTCTATTCTTTTTATTTGTTTCTTTGTCTTTATTTTTCCTTATGATTTCCTTTGATTATTATTATTTTTTTCCTTCTAATATGTTTGTAATAAATAGTCAGGTTTTACAGCTTCTAAAGTTCATGTCAGACAAGTTTCTGTTAATTCTTTTTGGAGAAAATAAAAAGAAGCAAAGCAAAAAAAGCATGTCAGTTGCTTTCCAACTGATTTTTTTTTATTATTATTATTATTTGATGACATACTTGTTTATTGTAATTTTTATTATAATTAATAAAAAATTAACTATTGGATTTTTTGAAAGCATTAAGTATTTGAGTGATTTCCATCAGAGTTAGGGTGTTTTTCCACTAGTACCTGTAGGAAATGAACACTGTCACTGTGTGTTTTGCACTTTTCTAGTAACACAGATTACCTTTCCCCCAAGAGAAAACAGGAAGTTCTTGCTTTTTGTCATTCATGGCTAATGGAATTGCTGATTGGTAAGTCATTGCGTCACTGCATCGATCTGTTAGAAGGGTTAGGGTATAGGAACCTGAGCCTCACGCTGAGGATAGCTCATACGCATTGGCTTGTCTGGCCTGAAAAGTGAGGGTTTGGTTGGACTCAGTTTAATTTATTAGAGCATCCCTCAAATCAAATGGAATGGATTTGACTGACGCCGCTCTGAAAAGTGAACAGACATATGCGCTGAATTCGAGACGGTAAAAGTGAGTCCCAATATCAATACCAATGTTTTAAAAAGTGGGTGGGTCTGGTTCAAGCCTTATACCCATGTTTTAGGAACTCTTTCATCAACATAATTTCAGTCAATCCTCAAATATTTCAGGTCAATTTATGCAGTAGTTACAGTTTGTTCTTATCACCAACACTATAATTATGAGCAATAATAATAGTGATGCTTATCTCAACAAGCAATAAGCATTAGAACGTGCCCAACACTATCTTTTAGAGAACTGCATCTTTACAAACAGAAGCAAGAACTGCCCCCAGACCACTGTTAAATGACCCAGCTCAAACATTGACTAATATACTTTCGAAGGGGTTTGTTGTGTCTTTATGAAAGCCTAAACAGTGAGTTCTCAGCATGTCGAAGATGTCCGAAACAGACTGTTCTCAGTTCAGTTAGTGCACTTTCTGGAGTGACTGAAGTGCTACTAAGAGTAAACAAACCCCGACAATTCCCTGGAGTTCTTCAGGAACATTAACGTGTGTGTGTGTGTGTGTGTGTGTGTGTGTGTGTGTGTGTGTGTGTGTGTAGAGACAGATTTCAGAGCAACGCAAACATATAATGTATATAAATTGATGTTCAAAATCAGTATTTTTAAAAGCAGAACGAATCTGAACAATAAATATAAGTTGTTTGTTTAAGTCGTTTGGCTGAACAGTCTAAACTGCTGTTTGTTACACAATATTTCACAGAGAATTTAGAGAATGACTCCATGATATTTTATTCAGGATCCAGCTACAATTAGATACAACTTCTTTCAGTTCTGAGATGTTATCTCTGTTATCTAGATGTGTAACTTTCATATTAAAAATGCACTAAAACTACAGTTTGATCAACAAATTTCTTCCGTCGTTAAATGGTCGTTTTTTTTTCATTTAAGGCGTCTTGCTAAAGTCAAATGTTTTCTCTCTCTGAAGAATAATAAAATAGTCATTCATGCTTTCATCACTTCACGACTTGACTTTTGTAATTCACTTCATCTTGGAGCTAACCAATTATCCATTGGGCACCAATGCTGCTGCCAGACTGTTGAATGGTTGTCGAAAGTTTGATCACATTGCTCCAATTTTAACTTCTCTAAATTGGAGAATTGAGTCTTTGTTTTTAAATCATTACACGGACTAGCACCTGGGTACTTATCTGACTTCATACACTACGACAACCCACCCAGGTCACTTCGGTCTAGTAACCTTGGAGCTCTCTGTGCGTAGATCGAGACTGAAACACTGAGTGACCGAGCTTTTACAGTAGCAGGCCCTAAATTATAGAAGAGTCTACCACTATCAATCAGAACAGTTTTGTCATTTGCTACTTTCAAATTAAAGCTTAAAAACCACTTTCTAAATGTAGATCCTTTATGCACTTTATTAACCTTCAATTGTATTCTATTTAATGTATTATTTATTCTATTGCTTGTAAATGTATCAATCATTTTTATTATATTGTATTATCCTTTTACTGATGAATCTGTCCTATTCAGCAGTTTGGTCAACCATGGGTTGTTTTTAAGTGTGCTCTGTGTATATATGTATATATTTAAAAACAACCGGACAATGAAAAGAGCACATGGCCCAAAATAACAAAACATCCATGTGCAACACAAGACAGGACAGGCATGTGACAGAATGCAGACCTTGACGCTAGGGGTCTAACAACAAAAAAGTCAGGAAGTCAGGAATCTTGGTGTGTCTCTAGAGTCAGACCTTAGTTTCAGTAGTCATGTCAAATCAATAACTAAATCAGCATACTATCACCTGAAAAATATTGCAAGAATTAGATGCTTTGTTTCCAGTCAAGACTCAGAGAAACTTGTGCATGCTTTCATCACCAGCAGTGGATTACTGTAATGGCCTCCTCACTGGCCTTCCTAAACACACCATCAGCTCATACAGATCCAGAACACATGAACACATCACACCAGTCCTCAGGTCTTTACACTGGCTCCCAGTTACATTTAGGATTGATTTTAAAGTATTATTACTGGTATATAAATCATTTAATGGGTTAGGACCTCAATATATTGCAGATATGCTCACTGAATATAAACCCAACAGATCACTCAGATCATTAGGATCACATCAGCTAGAAACACCAAGGGTTCACTCTAAGCATGGAGAATCTGCTTTAGCTATTATGCTGGACCAGCTTCCAGAGGAGATCAGGTGTGCTCCTACAGTAACCACATTCAAATCCAGACTCAAAACACATCTGTTTAGCTGTGCATTTACTGAATGAGCACTGTGCCACTGTTCACCCACCTCTTACTGTTTTTTTTTTTTTTACATTTTAAACTGTTTTAATTATTTACTGTATTTTATTTTTTATTCTAAACTGTTTTAATTATTCTGATTATGCTTTTGATTATTTGAATTTCTTCTATGTAAAGCACTTTGAATTACCATTGTGTATGAAATGTGCTATATAAATAAACTTGCCTTGCCTAAGCTAATACTATACCAATCAAATTACACGTTCAAATGCCTGCTTGGAAAAGGGTCGTAAAGAAATTCCCTCCAAAGGGAACAACTTCTTTCTGGCTCACAATCATCCAGAGGATCTGACATCTTCACGCTTTAAAAACCAATGACCAAAAGATCATGCCCTCTTAGTCCTCTCTTCTTCTGGCCTTCACTGCTGCCGATGTCTGTGGGCACCGCCTATCGGGGCCCATGGTGCCATGCCTTCACTCTCTTAACAGAGTCAGACTGTGTTTTCTTCAATCCTACTCAGAAGAAAACTGCAACTTTACCAACCCTGAATGGGCAACCAACTCTTCCGACTTCCTCATTGTTTGGTTGGGGTCTGCGTGGCCTCTCCAGCCCAGGGCCGGCAGGTCACAATCTGCATGGCTAACCCTAACCCTAACACATGTGCTCATGGACAGAGAGGAAACCTTCAATCAGAACAGAGTCAAACTACCCATGCAATTCATCATATCTGCTTCATCCAACAGAGAAAAAAAATGATTGCAATTTTAACATTTGACACTCACAGAATCATCAACAACTTGAACTGTTCAACAACTTCAAGAATTGTGTCCAATGCAAAAGCTATATATGCAGTCAAACATTTAATGAGACACTCTGAAAATAAGGTGATGGATCTTTAGTTCCAATTCCTGCTTCCGGTTTCATTCTGTCACATACATCTACCTAATATCTGTGTAATTGTTTGTATGTTACTTATGTGTTTGTGACTTTGTTGATAAAACTTGTGCACAATATGTATTTGGTGCTGATTCTCTGCTTACAAAAAAAGTTTATTATAAGATCTTGATCTCGTTACATGCTCTAAGCGCTGTACATGCTAAGAAAGAAGTTTTTTTCTGTGGCCATGAAAGATAGGCCTAACCCTTTTCTTAGAATAAATGAATAATCAAAAGAGTTTGTTTGGTTTGGTAAATGTTGATAAGCAATCTTAAGTTATGATTGATTATTAATATTCCCCTTTTGAGCCAACTCGTTACACATGAACTGTAAAGTAAATAAACAAATCTATAAAGTAACTAAATATAAGTTATCTATTTGTCCATTAGTACTCTTGAGAAATTGAGGAACATTTATTTAGGATAAAATGTAAACTTAAACAACTGTAAATATATTGTTTACACTACAAACACAAAATAAAGTGCCATTTGATTCTTCAAGACCACGAAATTAGCAAGTTTCATCAATATCAATATATTTACAGATAAAATAAATAAATCTGTCACTCATATTTAGTTGTGCTTGTAATATGGTCGTAGGTCACATGATAACATCAACATCGCAGATGTCTAGATCACATTCATACTTAACGTCATCAGGCTATATAATACCTACTCTTTTAGTGATTGTTATTGAAATTAAGAACCTAATCAGTGAGTATGTAGTTTCAAACGTAATCATGGTCCAGCCATATCACTCAAAACTACGATTCCCAGAATTCCTCCTGCTCATCCCCTGCACTCACTC